CTTTATAAAAGGAATTCATTTTTTGGCTAGGCTTGTTTAGGAAAGCTAGTGTTAAATGGTACCATGTGCAGAATTAGCTGAAGAATAGATCATCCAGAGGATGTTTAATAATATATGTTGAAGTAATTGCTATTATTGTTTCATTTACACTGGTCTGTTATAAAACGAGAAAAAAATGCAGGATTAATAAATAATCTTACTCCATGTTGTGAAACAGAAGACAGGTAGATTTATCTAATTTTGTCCTTAATTTTAGCCTTTCTATATAACATCAGAAAGGTCCATCTGAAACTATATATGCATTCTAGAATACATATGATTCTAAAGCATATACCAGGTTTGCTCCTCTTTAGTTCTTAAACAAAAGCATGCAAATAGTTTTTTAAAAATTGCAAAATGAGGCACCCACTTGTACTAACTTCTCGTATGGCCCTTTAGGAAATGTTTTGGGTGTATATCAGTATCAACAATTGTTGCTATTTAAAGCAGATTTAAAAATTTATAATTCATAGAAGAAAGGAAACAGGAAAAAAACACTAGAATCATATCCAAAAATTCTAAGGTGGAAAATGTGAATGTTTAGTTAATTTGTACCACTTATAAAAATTCAAAAGTATTTTACATTGGAAAGACCACATTACAAAAATTCAAAGGTATTTTAAATTGGAAGATACAGACTAAAATATTTGAAACAGCAATTTTAATAATAAAATGTCATCTGTGTTACCTCTAGCTTCAGGCTGATGCCATCAATGCTTTTGGAGAATCACTACAAAAGAAACTTCTGGACATCGAAGGATTGTATTCAAAAGTTCGATCTCGATATAGTTTCATACAGGCTCTTGTCAGACGTATCCGTGGCCTGCTGAGGATATCAAGGAACTGACAGCTTGTGCTTAAACTCTTCTATGGAAGAGATGACTCGAGGAAACTGTCTCCTTTTTATAAACTAGTTAGTTTCTAAATTATGACCAAAAAATATTTTGCTATTTCTTTCTTTATATATGGACATCTTTTCTGTAAACTTCTTTGCTTGGTTCCATCCTCACTATTAAAAAATAAATACTTTTTAAAAAAACAAAACAAATACCTGCTTAGTCTTTTGAAATTTTATGTAGAAAATGATCGACATTATCAGCAATCTAACCCTTCACAGTGGAGATACTATTCTGAATGCTAAATTAAAGGAATAGTTTGGAAATTCTAATTTTTTCACCCTTTTTACCTACATTGTACTTTTATGATATTCAGGGTTACTTCATGGGGTAGAGTGGATAATAAACTATAGCCATATTCTTTTATAGAATAGTGTACCCAATACTGTGAAAAATGTATTATGGAAATATCTCAGAAAATCAAGCCATTTCTTTCCTAAAATTATTTAGCTCTTGCGTTTTTTCTTTTGTGCATATAAAATGACAATACAGTTGTCCCTTGGTATCCGAAGGGGACTGATTCTAGGATGTCCACATCCACTTGAACTTGATGTTCAAGTACATTATATAAAACTGCACAGTATTTGCATACAACCTAAGCATATCCTCCCATATGCTTTAAGTCATCTCTAGATTACTTATAATACCTAATACAATGTAAATGCTATATAGTTGTTACATTGTATTTTTAAATTTTTATTTTTTGTTGTATTGTTATATTTTTCTGAACATTTTCGATCTGCAGTTGATAGAATCTGAGAATGCAGGACCCACAGATCTAGAAGCCTATGATAATTTGCATTTTTTTCCTTAGAAATGATTATGAAATTTCTCAAATTAATCATCTGCTCATATAATTAATATGATAGTTGAGTATCCCTAGGGCAAAAAGTTTACTTAATAACCACCAATTTCTTGCCCGATTGTTTATATGTTCAAGCGATTATATCATCTGAAAGTACATTTTTCCCTTTCTTGTAGCAATTATTTCAGCATAATATATAGGAGAGACTGCTGAGAGAGAAAAGAGTCTTGACTCTCATGTAGTAGCAGAAAATTAATACTTAGTTTTGTAGTGTTGCTTTTAAAAAAATATTACAGTAAAATTTCTATGGCTTTTTAGCATCTTTTCAAAAAGGCTTTGTCAGTGTTGTATTTTGAAATTAATTCAATGTCCACTAGTTAAACATTACTTTTTAGCTAGAAAGCATCCTATTAATAAATTGAAGTCTTAGAGGGATGTGAATAAATACTTTACTGGATCCAAAATGTAGTCATAATGCCTGTTGCTCTGCTGGTCAGGGATGTGGTAATCTTTATCATCTGGGACAGGCATGAACCCAGAAATAATCAGCAAGGAGCCTGGGGCATGAAATCTAAGCATTTTATTAGGTCATTAAGTATGGAATGTCCAATTTCCTTAAGTATTAAGTTTGACAGTAGATATTTCTGACATTTCAGTTTGACACTTGTTGATTTTTTTTCTGTAATGTGAAGGTACATCGTCGGTCTTTCAAATGCACATTTTGGCTTGTGATTGTCTTTCACATTTTTTCAGGCAATTTTTGTGAAACCATAGATAAGTAAAAAATGTGTGTTATTTTTAAATATGAGTTCCATCATGGAACCAATGCAGTGCAGACAGCTCTAAATATCATCGAAGTGTTTGGAAAGGATGTGGCTAATGAATGCACAGTACGCTGATGGTTTGAGAAGTTCCACTCTGGTGATTTTAATTTTGAAGTGAGCCCATGTGGGTGACCCGAGACCAAGGTGGATAATGATGAACTGAAAGGTGTAGTGGAAGCATATCCATCTCAACCTATGCATGCGTGCATTAGCATTACGGTTTGATATTACTATTCCAACACTATTGGACCATTTGAAACAAATTGGCAAGGTAAAGAAACTGGACAGATGGATACCACATGAATTAAACGAGCGTCAGAAGAGAAATCGGCTAGAAGCTTGCCTTCTTTGCTGCCACCACAAAGGCAAACCATTTATACACCATATTATTACATGTGATGAAAAATAAATTTTTTGCCAATTGCAAGTATTCAGCACAATGGCTGGATAAAGATGAAGTGCCAAAACACAGTCCAAAACCAAATATTCATCAGAAAAAGCTAATGGTGTCTATTTGGTGGTACAGTGCTGGTATTATCCCCCACAGCTTCGTGAAACCTGGTCAATGGATTACGGTGGATGCCTACTGCAACCAATTGGATGAAATGATGAGGATGCTTGTGATTAAGCAGCTGAGACTGGTCAATAGAGACAGGCTAATTACTCTTGCAAGACCACATGTTGCAAAAAAAATAGTGCTGCTCAAACTACAGAGGCTGGACTTGGAAACTCTCTGTCATCCATCATATTCACAAGACCTTGTACCAACTGACTGCCACGTCCAGGGTTTGGAACACTTCTTGCAAAGGAAAATACTCAATTCTCAACAAGGTGTGGAAAATACCTTTTGCAATTTCATTGCCACTCGATTTCTAGGCTGCTTTGCTGCAGGTATAAACAACCTACCCTTAAGATGGCAAAATTATGTTGAAAGTTTAGGCACACACTTTAATTGTACCACTTCTTGTTTGGGATATGATAAACTACACTTTTGATTTGAAATCGGACATTTCATATTTAATTACCTAATATAAACTTCTGAAGTGTGAAGCCTTCCCAACAGGAGAAAGATATTAGCCATATTTGGAATTAAGATTTTGGATTTACTAAGCTTCATTGCCTTGTTTTCTAATCAATTTTTCCAAAATTACAGCTGACTGGAAGGATCAGTTTGGGCAGTGGAGGAGTTTGTGGGAGGCGGTGGCAGGAAGGACTGCAGGTGCATTGCATTGGTGACCAGAAATGGTGTTTGTATGAAACAGCCAGGACAGGCTAGCACAGAGGGCCTGCCTCTGTTCCTGGGGCATTCTGTACCCTGGGACATTGGAGAGAGGGCACTCTTCAGCAAAGCAAAGTAAAGGGGATAAAACCAGGATTTAGGCATTTTTGCTTTGAAGAGTTTTAGCATGTAAAGAGTAGGTTCCTTTATTCCTCAACAATACTAAATAAATGCAGGATTTTAATTGGTTGTTTCTACTGAGTTAATCAGTTTCGTTGGGTTAGAATATCAAAAGCGTACATATCCTCTTCCTAGTCATGACTCCTGTAGTTTTGATAAATTGGTAACATAGAAATTATAATATCCAAACTTTATCTGAACTGTAATAGCTGTTGATACCCAACCAGCCTTTTCCAGATATTTAGTTGTTTTCCCATCTTGAAAAATTTTGAATCTTAAGAATTGGAAGAAAAGTACAACGAACCCATATACTTTTCACCTAGATTCACTAGTTGTCCACAGTTTGCACATTTGCTTTTTAATATGTTTATGTACTGGTTTTCTTTAAGTTGTGGACATCATGACACTTTATCCCTAAATATTTTAGCAAGTAAGAACTGTATTTTCTTTCCTAATCACAATACCATTATAACATTCAAGGCATTTGACAAAAAATACAAAATTCCTAATATTCTGTCCATATTAAAATTTCCTCAATTGTCCCCGGAATGTTCTTTAGAACTTTTTTGACCCAGGATCCAATAATTAAGAATAACACATTACATTTAGTTACCTCTTTAATTACCTTTATTAATAAAACGGTTCCTTGCCTTTTTGGAGAGTAAGGGGCTTTTATAACTGATATTTTTTAGCTCTTTTGAAAAAGAACCCACAATTTGTTTTCTTTTGATGAGATTCCGCTTAAATATTTTTGGCTCGAATAGAATTGTACCGGTGATACTGTGCATCAGGAGGTATGTATCAGTCCGCACCAGACATGTGACCATCATTTATTGATCCTTCACATTATCTTATTTGGTCCCCACAACAGCTGACCCAGGGGCTTGCGTTAGCCCCATTTACAGAGGTGGAAACCAAACCTCAAGAAAGGTTAGTGGCTTGCTCATGGCTGACAGGTGATGCAAGGCAATTATGACTTCTATCATTGTTCCTTAACTGAGATTACACAGCACACACCTGTGGAGCTTTGACAAATACTAGCCTCCTTTTCTCCCCTGCAGAGTCCTATGTTGCAAAAGCTCCCGGGCCATACAGCTGCACACCTTGGGATGGGACAGGAGCCCCTAAGCCTGCGCACCTAGGGATGGGACTCCTGCCTTATCCCGTCCTTCTAGGCCAGGGAGCCCTAAGCCAGGTTATGCCCCAGAATCATCCGCAGGCAGCTCCAGGATGCGAGCCCTGCGCGCTCCGCCAGGGGACGCTGGGACGCTGTGAGCTGCTTCCGGTGCCGGTGTGGAAGAAGGAGACGTGCAGGGCGTGACCCGGAAGTTGACGGTGGGTTCCGCCCCTCGCGCTGGGGTGGCAGGCTCGGACCGGCCGGCGGAGCTGCAGCCTCACTTAGCGCCCTCCTCGTCGACATCATGCTCCAGTTCCTGGTGAGTGGAGCTGCCGAGGACAGGGCCTGCGGCTTGGGGTTCGCCTCGGGACCCTCTTTCCCCTCGAGGCGGCCTTGGCCGGGGGACGTGGGCGTAGTTCCCGCCGTCCCCTCAGCCCCCGCGCCTGGTCAGCGCCTCTCAGGGTGGCCGGTGGGGTTTTCTTCCTGCCTCCCTATAAAACCCTTTGCCAGTACTTTTCTGCAGCTGTCGAAGTCCCTAAAAGTTTGAAGTGTCAGACAGTATGCGTCTTCAAAGCTACTTGCTGTGTGCCGCGCCCTGCGTTCATTGTGTAATCCTCGTATTAAAGCTTGTGTGGTCCTTAATGACTTTTCGTGGTCGACTCCCTTTCTGCGCTCCTGACGTAGACACAGACCCTGTCCCTGTCTCAGAGCTCTGCTGTTCGGCATATTTAGAAGGTAGGAGGGCGGGAGGGCCAGGAATAAACCTTAAATTAGCCGTCGCACTAGTCAGAGTTAGAGGCTTAGCGAGCCCTCATCAGACCTCTCAGACTTGAGAAGTGAGTCAGTCGCTGGTATACAAGTAATTTTTCCCAAAGTGAGTAAGCGTGAGTAAGCAGATTATTTTTCATGGCTCCTTATTTGAGTTGAAAACGAGTTTTCTGGCAAAACTCAATATATTTCAAGGATTGCCTGGTGGAAGTTCCAGGAAGATTTGCCAGTCAGATTTTCAAGTGAAAGTTTTTCTACCAAGTTTTTGTGCGTTCAAAACTTGATGCTTTTGATCCCTAATTCTTATAAGAGGCAGATATTCTAGTATTTTTCAGATGTTCAGTGGAGTTCTGTTGCTCTGGAAATGAGATTCTTTCCCAAATGCTTTATTTTTTTTTTATCAAAGAAATTAAAACCCAAAACGTGTCCCTTTGTCCTCTTGAAAGATGGTAATTGGCTGTGAAATCCAGTGAGTCAAAAGAATATCCTTGACCCAAACTGCCCAACTAAGACAGGGCTGCTCCTTTGCCTTTGAGAGTTTCTCCAGTGTCTTTACCAGGTGTTAGCTTGAGAGTTAGGAATTACAGTCATTTACTTGCAGGAAACAGTAGGGTAAAAGCAGTATCACTTAGCCCCAAGTGTAGGGTGATGTAATTGAACCACCTACATCTGTTGCTCATTGATAAACTGAGAGGACATGATTCATTTACAATCAACTTTTTAAGTTATTTTGCAGAATAGGTTTATTTGGTGTTGGAATAAACTTTTAGCTGTGTGGAAACATGGATTTTGATTTGAGAATTCAGAATTCTCAGCATTTAAGCAGAGATACTGAAGCTATCCATTCAGTTCCTGGCTTGGAAGTAACTGGAGCACTCATGTTCTCTCACCTTCTGGTCTCCTACATTTCCTTTGTTTTCTTTTTTTTTTTTTTTTTTTTTTTTGAGACAGAGTCTCACTTTGTTGCTCAGGCTAGAGTGAGTGCCGTGGCGTCAGCCTGGCTCACAGCAACCTCAATCTCCGGGGCTCAGCGATCCTACTGCCTCAGCCTCCTGAGTAGCTGGGACTACAGGCATGCGCCACCATGCCCGGCTAATTTTTTGTATATATATTTTTAGTTGGTCAATTAATTTATTTCTATTTTTGGTAGAGACAGGGTCTCGCTCAGGCTGGTTTCGAACTCCTGACCTCGAGCAATCCGCCCGCCTCGGCCTCCCAAAGTGCTAGGATTACAGGCGTGAGCCACCGCGCCCGGCCTCCTACATTTCCTTTGAAAATAGTATATACTTTTCACAGTGATTCCACCTCTGTCAAATGATTCACTACCACTGTGAAGTGGGGCATGTCTGTCTGTTTTCAGTCATCTCATCTATAAAACAATGACCATCATGTCCTAGTATTTAAGAGGTTAGACTTCAGAATCAGACTTCTGGGTTTGAACCCTACCTCCATCATTTTCACGCTGTGGAAGCTTGGGCAGATTATTTAAATTTCCTATGCTTCAATTTCCACATCTGAAAATGGGAACTCACCTCATGGTTTCGTTGTGAGGATTAAAAATAACACATTAAAGTACTTAAAAACAGTGACACTTAACAAGGATTTAGATATCATTTGTTTTTTCTTTTGCAGGTGTCAATTGAACTCTGGTTTAGTTTCTTCTCAGAAATGGGAATTAGCTTCCCTCAGAAGGGTAGGTTATGAGAAAGGTTTGGAAGTGATGGAACAGTCACAAGTTAAGCATGTACATTGTCATCACTCATTTTGGAACCCTCTAAGATGTTTCTTACAGTTGTTCATCCAGCACAATTTGAAAACCAGCATATTTAATTGTGTTTATATATTCCTTCCATTTTTCATTCTTCTTCCAATTAAAATATTCACCCGTTGTCCCTGTATTGACACCTTGTTCCTGTGATTTTGCTGCATAAACTTAATTGTAGTATTGTTTAGCTACAGCTATTTTAAGGATGCTTTGAAAGAGTAGCCTATTACAAAGATGTACAAAGGCACTGCTGGGGCCTTTGTGCACACTGCCTGTGGTACTATTCCTGGTAATCTGTTGCTTTTCTTACCTCTTGAAGTCCCCAGCACTTGGTACTCTTAAATTATGTCATCTTTAATCCCTTCTCCCTTGGCTTTGGGATCCCGTATCTCAAGTACTTTCCAATATTCTTTCACATTATAACACATCAGAATTATTTTTATAGAGGACCTGCACAGAATGAAGGTGACAAGCTCTGGGTGCGAATAGCTCCAAGGGCTGAGAGAAGCATATCTGGGTATACCAGTTGGGGAACTGCTCTATCTAATCTCTCTTGTTTTTACTGGCTGCTTCTCCCTGCTTCTTGGTTACTGTGTGTTGCTCAAGAGTCAGTCCTTTATCCTCTGCTCTTCTCTCCCAACCCACCCTCAGTGAGTGTGTTGCTTGTCATGCTGTCACCTTTCACCTCTTTGCAGACAGCTTCCAAAACTGAGTCCTTTTCTCTGAGTTCCAGTTCCTGGCACCAGCTGCCAACTGAACATTTCTGGTCTTACCCTCCATTTCAGACTCCACATGTCTGGCCCTGCTACCTCCCCCCTCCCCATCCCCTACGCCACACCTAACTTTTTTCTTTGTTCCCCTGCCCTGAGTCTCTCAAATTTGAAATGTTGACATAATCTTTATTTCTCTCCTTCATTTCCCATGTCATTTTCCCACCATGTACCTGGCATGTATATTTACCTGCTGTTTAATCTTGGGCAAGTTACTTAACTGCTCTGTGCCTCAGTTTCCTCAACATAAACTGGGCAATAATGGGGTCTGCTTTATAAGGCTGTGAAGAACATGAATTAATTCATGAGAAAAGAGAGTGCTACCTTGTGCGTAGTAAGCACTCAGAAAATGTTAGCTATTGTTTTAAGCCATTAAGTCTCCATTAATCACCTTATGAAGAGTTCTCTGTATGTTCCCACTGCCAACTTCACAGAGTACGTCTTTTTTACTTTACCCTCAGACTAGCTGGTGTAGAATTGTAGATTGTGAGTTGGAAGACGGTTCTCTAGTACAGCTAACATGCTGATGCTTCAGTCTTCACTACTAAGGGGCATCCCGTTTATGTTTAGTAATCTCCACTTACAATAGGCTCATCATTTCCTCTGGTAATCTCTTTCATTTTTGGTTGGTGTCCCCTTACCTAGTTCTGCTCCTTGATGTGAAAGAGCAATTCTTATCAACCTGAGAATCTTTTACATAGTCAACATTGTCTTGGCACTTCTCTCAACCCCTCCCATCATCCCCTTCTGTCTTGTCTTTAGGCTAAACATTTCTACTTCTTCCATCCATTCTTCATGATTTCAAGTTTATGTGGTTACACTTCTGTAAATATGGCACTGATAAGCCATAGCAAAGCAGGGCTATTGCTTCTAGTTCTGTACGTATCCTGTGTTGTCCTTGGTTCTGTCCTTCCCTCTTGCAGCTGCCTTTCCTCTTACAGCTGCCCTCATGCAGCTGCCAATGATAGAGGATCAAGATTAATTGCCTTACTCACGTGCTCAGAAACTGTCAGTGGCCCCTGCATCCATCCTTCTACATCAAATCATAACCACTTTCACTTGATTTTGCTAATCTGGCTTCACTTTCCATTCCCACTGCCCTTCAACAGAGAGTCCTATTTTAGATTGGGTAGGCTAATCTTTCTGATCCATAACCAACCTGTGGACCTTCTTGTGTTCATACCTTCCCACATGGTTTTCCCTTTATCCTGCTTTGTCTTCCTCACTACTCCTTGTGGACCAACTTCTATCTTTTTTCGTGAGGCCTTCCTGATGACTTTAGCTCCTGAAATCTTCACACCATTATGTCTTTATACTATTATGATCCATCTTCCCATTTATTTAGGTCTCATAATGTTTTTCATCAGTGTTTTTAACTTCTGAGTAATCTTGCACCTACTTTGTTATATTTATTTTTGATACTTTTTTTTTAATTTCTAGGTACTTTTTAGTTTTCTGTTGTAAGTGGTGACCTTTTTAAAATTACATTTTCAAATTAGTTGTTGCCATTGTATAGAAATGCTAATAATTTTCATGTATTGATTTTGTATCCAGCAGTCTTGCCTATCTCTTAAGTCGTTTGCAGATACAGTTGGAAGTGAACCAATGAAGTTTACTGAGAAGACAGTCATGTCTTCAGTGAAGGCAAATATTGAGAGTTTTGTGTTCTTTTTACATTTTTATTACTCTTATTTGTCCATCTTCCCTTTCATTATGTAAACTGGGATTTTGAGTTGAAGTCATGAGAGTGAACATTCTCATTTTGTTTCTGCTTTTAGTGGAAATGCTTCTCAAATTTTAGTATGGTATTTGTAATGTTTTCTAACAGGTTAAGGAAATTCCCTTCTATTTCCTGTTTAAGAGTTTGGCTGGGCTCACACCTATAATCTCAGCACTTTGGAAGGCTGAGATAGGAGGATGGCTTGAGGTCAGGAGTTCAAGACCAGCCTGAGCAAGAGCAAGACCCTGTATCTACAAAAATAAAAAAATTATCCAGGCGTGGTAGCACATGTCTGTAGTCCCAGCTACTTGGGAAGCTGAGGCAGGAGGATTGCTTGAGTCCAGCAGTTTGAGGTTGCAGTGAGCTATAAGGAAGCCACTGGCCTCTACCCAGGGTGAGACAAGACTCTGTCTCAAAAAACAAAAAGTAAGTTTTTACTGTGACTAGCTATGGAATTTTGTCATCGTATTTCTTCATCTGATGATTATATGATTTTTCTCCTTTAATATGTTAATATGAATTACATTAGTAGATTTCTAATACAAAGCACTTAAACTATGTGGTCCATTGAGACCATCACTTGGTGATGTGTTGTATTGTATTGCTGCACCTTCATGTGGTTTAGTCTTGGCTTTCTAGAATAGATCATAAAATCCATGGGAAGAAGCACTATACCTTATACTTACATTTTCCAAGCATGTGGCTTAGTTTTAGGACCTGTAAGGCACTTAGTCAATACCTTGTGAATGATTTCATTTATTTAATTTTAGATCTTCCTCTTTTGCCTCATTGCTACTCTCAGATAGTCATAAAATATTTGAATATTTAAATTGGCTTCTTTGAGAACAGGCAAACCAGTTCTACCTCTGCACTGGCGGACTTTTTCATGAATGTCCCTGTTTCATTTCCCGGCTCAATGAAAGCATTAAAAGCTCCCCTCCCCCCCTTCATTCTCTAAGGAAGATTATTGAATATAAAACCTAGCTTACCTCTTAAAAACCTGCTTCTCTGTGGTGGTAAGTAGAAGGGATATAGGTTATATCCTCAGCAAATTTTCATTCTAATGTATAGAATGTGGGTTTTATTATTACTTGAAGCAGTTGTTAAACACATTTGATGATGATCTCTACACCAAGTTTAAAGACTTAAGACACAAAAAAGGGTGAATTTTTTTCTGCCTCCTTGGAATAAAGAAATCTTCTGCTTCTCTAGCTGAGTCTAAAATTAAGAAATAAAATAATTTTTGGTTTTCTTGTCAGTGTGTAGATTTTGTCACTGCAGACTACATCATTTTTGGGTTGGCTAGACTGATCTTACCTTTTTGAATGCTAGTTGTAGCTATATTTACTAAATAAAATGAGATTATTTTTAGATTTCTTAAACCCTTGTCAGAAAATATAGTTGAGAATCTATGTCATAACTTGGGTGTGTGTCATTTTTGAAAATCTAATTTGATGAGTCATATTTCAGATATTTGTCAGATACTTTGAGTTATTGTCAACTACTTTGGGTTATTGTCAGGAGCCATCCCCAGATAAAAATTGTGCTTTATTTGCTGATCTGTGTGTGCAACTTTTTGATTAGGGAAGGGTTGAGCACATGATGACAATAGTCAGTTTGCTTTGGAGTTGGCTTTCTTTTCAAGAGTTAGTGCTTTTTTAGGCTGGGTGTCACCTGGTGGCTCTATTAGAGAGGGTGTGATAGGAATGTATTTCGTGTCAGGCTTGGGAAGAAGGCATTGCGCTGTCTTCTCTGCAGGGGATATTATGGGGTGACCATGTGGTATGGAGGGGGTACTATGCTGATGGCATCCAGCTTACAGAGCTTCTGGTGAGGCTTCCAGGTCTTGGCCTGGAAAAGAAGTTAAGCATTCTTGGCTTGCAGAAAGGTTTCAGACTCATTCAAGACCTTCTATAATCTGGCTTCGGTCTGACTTCTCAGGCTCAATGTTCTTCAGATTTAATTTTTTTTCTGTGTAAACTTGCTTATTGACCATGCCATGAACAATATACTGTATATGCTTTTCCGGCTTCATGCATTTTCCCTAACATTTCTCTTAATGAGTAACATTTTTCTTCTTATAATGTGTATTTAATTTTACAATATGTATTTAATTTTACCCCATTCATTGGTAGATCTGGTAGTTTTCTGAAACTGGAATTGGATCTAACTTGTCTAGAGGCACATGGTTTTTGTTTTGTTTCATGTTTTAAAATAACCACTAGTTTTTCATGTGCCCTGATGCCTGGTGAAATTACCAAACTGAAGCCAGATTAGATATGCCATATTTATTTTGAGACACACATGGTAAGAACTAGGAATCTTAGAATGTTGGAGCGGCAACATTACAGGTGGAGTAATGTTTTATAAATCAGGAAGCTCAAATCAGCAGTCTTCCAGAGAGGTAAGTGTCTTGCCTAAAGGCACACAGCTAGATAGTGGTGGAACCAGAACTGGTTTATTGTTTTTGAAATTTTATCAGTCCCATGTTCTTTCTATTTGGTGTTAGAGCTAATATTTTCATGCGATTTTTTTCTCTTAAGCAAATTTAATACTCTCTCTGGATTTGGAAAACCTCTGCCTATCTGGTTTCAATCCATAAAAGTGAAAAAAAATCATTCTTCTCAGTGCTGTGTTGGTAAAAATATGATTTTGCAAGAGGTGTTTAATTAATCGCATGATCAGAAAATGGTGTATGATTAGAGACTAGATAGTCTCTTTTGTGTTTCTTAATTTGCTAACAACAAACCAATTTAAATTATGCTTTTGGTGTCTCAAGCTTAGTTAGCTTACAGCTCAGTAAGGACCCAGTTGTATTCTGTTCCTCCATATGCACCTTTAACTTGAAGATAAGGTTTGACCATGCCAAGTGTGATTGATGGTGTTAAGTGCCATACTTTTTCTGTTTTAACCTCTTTGCTGCACATTGATTAAATATGAGCAACACTGATTAAACAAAATGACGAAAAAAGTAGATGCTAGTTTGAATTTGTAAAGTTAGAAATTAGGCTTCAGTTAGAGGCTCTTATTTAGGAGTAAAATAGGGAGTTACCATCATTAAAACTCAAAGCTAAGGAGCCTTAGTCCTTTTGGTATATAAGGAGTACTCTAAATTTTCTTGAAGTAGTTCTTGTTCAGAAAAATAGTCACTAATGAGAAAAACATTCATAGTTCTTTAAAAATCATGCCTGTCTCTGTTGTCACTGAGTTAGAGCTGTGTTTTCCATAGACCTTCAGTGTCCTGCTTGTTAGACTTTACCCATGGCAGAGTGCCATGCTGTATGTACTCTCAGTGGTATGTCAGAGTTCCCAATTCTTTTCTGTCATCATGTATTTTGGTTTTTGAGTGGGTATCTAATGTAAGTTGTCCTGGACTCCTTGTTGTGAATGAACTAGGACAAGTCCCTTCCCATATAGGGCCTCAAGTTGTTCTTTTGAAATGGAGAGATTCAACTGTGAATATGATCTAAGATCCTATGATTGAACTGAATACTTATTAAATTGAATAATTTTTATTTGGTTTAGAGAGGAATAACAATACCCATAACCAAAAAAAGACAAAAAAATTACAGCATTCAATAACAAAAATCTGAACTATGGCTTGGGTTTCTAGAACTTGTAGTCAAGAATTTATGGGGATTTTGAGGAGATAAGGAAAATTTTTTTTTTTTTTTTCTGAGACATAGTCTCGCTTTGTTGCCCAGGCTAGAGTGAGTGCCGTGGCGTCAGCCTAGCTCACAGCAACCTCAAACTCCTGGGCTCAAGCAATCCTCCTGCCTCAGCCTCCCAAGTAGCTGGGACTACAGGCATTCGCCACCATGCCCGGCTAATTTTTTGTATATATATTAGTTGGCCAATTAATTTTCTTTCTATTTATAGTAGAGACGGGGTCTCGCTCTTGCTCAGGCTGGTTTCGAACTCCTGACCTCGAGCAATCCGCCCGCCTCGGCCTCCCAGAGAGCTAGGATTACAGGCATGAGCCACCGCGCCCAGCCTAGATAAGGAAAATTTAGGGTAGATTTTTTCAGTGCCACCATTTATTACTTTTGTATGCTCTTTAACCTTTTGGGAGGGTAATTCTGTGTTTATAGGAGAAAATTGTGAATCTCATGTTGTACATAGTCCTAGAGTGGACTCTAGGGTCTTCTAACTTCCCAGAGCTCTTAGGAACAAGGTATTGTCTATGTATTTTGTTTTGGCATCACACCGGCACAGTACTTGCTATGCAGCATAACTCTTCCTGTTCTGTTCTTTCAGCTTGGATTTACTTTGGGCAACGTGGTTGGAATGTATCTGGCTCAGAACTATGACGTAAGTGACCGTATCCACAACCTCCTCGATTCCATATAACTCTTTTAGTGTGACTTTTCTTTGTTGAAGTAAGGTGTGCCTTCCAGCATATATGAGGTCTATAGGTCTGAGGAAAAAGTACTGAATATTGTATAAAGGTTTTCCATTGTTTGAAAAAATAATCCAACTCACAGAAGTGTCTGTCCTCCATATCACCACAAGAGGGCAAAATCCCATCAGTTTAGGTATTCTCTAGATGATCCTAAGTTGTGCTCATTAGCCTAGTGTAATATAAGTTGGGTTCTTAAAAGTTTGTAGAAGGTTAGAGTATCATTGGGTCTTTAAAAAAAAAAAAAAAGTTTGTAGAAGGCCGGGCGCGGTGGCTCACACCTGTAATCCTAGCACTCTGGGAGGCCAAGGCGAGCAGATCAGTTGAGCTCAGGAGTTCGAGACCAAACTGAACAAGAATGAGACCCTGTCTCTACTAAAAGTAGAAAGAAATTAGCTGGACAACTAAAAACATATAGAAATTAGCCGAGCATGGTGGTGCATGCCTATAGTCCCAGCTACTTGGGAGGCTAAGGCAGGAGGATTACTTGAGCCCAGAGGTTTGAGGTTGCTGTGAGCTAGGCTGATGCCAGAGCACTCTAGCCCAGGCAACAGAGTGAGACTCTGTATATAAAAAAAAAATTCTATGGAAAATCATGTGATAAGTGAGAATGTAAAGATTAATTGGATAATCTTTTCAGCCTCCCTAGCCAGTAGTGGAGATAACTGAGAATTTTGGAGATGCATTTATATAATGTGGCACATTTAAGGAGGACAGAGTTTTGTGAAGTGCGGAGTTTGTATTAATCTCACCTTATGGAGCAGGAAATTGAAAACCAGGTGGTACAACTGCCCATGAATGGGGATCCTGGAATGGTGTTTTAGAAAGACAAACAAGGGAAACATGGTATTCACTTTTGGTTTGTTTTGTAGTATAGCTTTTAGTTATGACAAAGGGAATTCCTTTTGTCAACCTTTGTTTCAGTCATATCAGTTGCTAGGCAGGGGCTTTTTTAATTTATATCACATTTATTGTCTATATGTACAACTTTTACTTGGCACTCAGTTGAGGACTTAAGTGAGTAATATAAAAGTAGAAGTTGGAATCTGGCTTTCAGAGAGAGAGCATACTTATCGTACAACTTCTAATATCTTTTGTATGCAGTTATGAGGTTAAGAAATATTTAGTAGGTCTGTTTCAGAGGAAAATGAAACTTCTAAAACCATTTATCTTTGGAGGAAGAGAAGTTAAAAGAATATTGATTAGGTAGATGCAAAATTATAATAATCTTTTTTCTTTTAAAGGTACCAAACCTGGCTAAAAAATTTGAAGAAATAAAAAAGGACTTGGATGCCAAGAAGAAACCTCCTAGTTCATGAGGCCGACTCCAGGACTGCCTTCTGGACACACAGAGTCTCCTGCTCTCGAGGGCCTCCTTTACCTTCTGAACCAAAAGCCTTTGTTTTCATCTCTAGCCTCGTGATTTTCTTCTTTGCTAGACCCCGTGTTACCATAGAGCAAAAATGGGGCCCCAGATTAAGAAACTACCCTTACGTGTCCAACATCCTCACCTCCTCCCATATCCTCCTTCCAGCTACATGGGACGTTCTAGGACTGGAATTATGGTGCTCGATTAGTAAACATGACCTTTAATGAGTAGTCTCTTCCTTATTCTTTGAGATTTCTATTCTACTACCTTTCATCAGAAGAAAAATGAATGAGTTTTATATAGCTGATCAGGTACAAATAATACTGATTTCACAGTTTAGCCATTATAATGGGTGCTTGTTAAACATTTGGTACTAAATTATATTGTTCCAAAGTAATTAAAATTAATATCTAGAAGCCAGTTTCTGGCGAATTATCCATTTATTTTATACTATTGTTAGGCAGCTCCATAGTTACTAATTTAACCAGTAAATCAATTTGCTATTCATTAACTGAGAAACTATATTTTGAGAATCCTGTCAGGAACTGGGGAGTTTAAATATATGCAAAATAATAGTCTTTTTTCCAGTAGCAGTCTGTTGAGTGTGCATGTTTTTCCTTAATGATGTATTGATCTAACTCTTTTTCTTCAAAAGAATTATACTTGGGATTACTGGTACATTTGACATTATATGATGGAGAAGTGAGAAGTTGTCTATAAAGAAAATGTTATGCCTTTTCACATTAAAAAATGTATTTACATTATAACTTTATAGTGATTCTCATAAAAGAATAGCCCAAATGTATAACGAAATCAGCATCTCAAGAAGGAAAATTTCTAGCCGGGCATGGTGTACACCTTGAGTCCCAGCTACTTGGGAGACTGAGGCAGGAGGATGGTTTGTACCTCGTCGTTTGAGGCTCTTGGCAGCAACAAAAAAAGAAATTTCTGCTTCTCTCCACAATTAATGCTTGCTTTTTTTCTTGCAGTCAGAAATTACACATTTGACAAATTACACGGTTAATCAGTCCATATTTTTAAAAAATTATTAATAAAAGAAAATTTGAATAGGTAACTTTTCCCATGGGTTAAGATACAAAATGATTTTGTATTAAGGGCCTCTTCCACCATTGTTCTCTGGTTCCTAGTTCCTCTTAGGTGGTCATTGTTACTACTTTTCCTGTGTACTTGCATGTAGGTGTGTGTGTGTGTGTGTGTTGTTGTTTTTTTTTTTTTTTTAACACAAATGGTAAGAAACTATCCTTTTTTTTTAATGGAGATCATTTCATATCAGTATGTAAGAAACAAGGAACCTTGTTCCATTTTTGGCTGCATAAGATTGTATTGAATAGATATACCGTAATTTATTTAATCTGCTACTGATGAATGTTTAGGTGGTTCTTTTGCTAGTGCAGTGATAACCTTGAACTCAGTATTATTATACATATCTATGCAAAATGTAGCTATAAGATAAAGTCCTAAAAGTGTAACTTGCACTAACTGTATATAGATCAATACCCATTTTATTAGGTGTTTTGTTTCAGAGGGCTTGTTGGGCAGCTTCACTGACAATGCCATTTCTGAAGACATGGCATGTTCAGAATCAACAAACTGGAAGAATTAGAGCGCCTTTTTGTAGACAGTGGTGACACTGATTCTTTTCTATATGTGATAAAGTGATTCTGCATCTCTTTGAACACATGGATCTCTCATACATGAGATACATTTTATCCCTGTCAAAATTGTCATTGTGGGTGAGACAGATTAGGATCAAATTATGATTTGACTTTACCCTAGCAGTGTGATCATGGGCAAACAACTTATTCTTTCTGCAGCTCTTGCATTATCTGTAAGATGTAGACATAATACCTACCTCATAGGGTTTTCATAGAAATAACTGAGATAATGTATGTGGTGTGTTACACAGTGCTTTACAAATTATCTAATAAATAGTAGATATTGGCTCAAACATGCTGCTTTTTCGACCAGTTTGCAATCACTTTTGGAACCAGTTTATGAACCATGCAAAATTTGTCATTATTTTGTGGTCATTCTCTTTGATATTAATGAAAATTTACAGCCTCCACCTAGATCATACCTAACCTGGCTCACAAGCTTTGATCTTGAGTGACTGAATTGTTAGCAGAATGAACTAGATCCTCAAAGGATATAGGTTTACCATGAGAGTATTCGAAATGCTAGAAGCTTAGAAGGCTGTCTCCAAAGAGAGATTCCTTGTCATCAACCATGACAGGATTGTCACTGTGTGTGTGATCTCCCAGAGTGGCTGCTTTGGGGCTGAAGTTCACTTAGATGTTAGAAGATTGGTTTCTTCATATTATGCTTTGTAAACAAGGTTCATTTGGACTTAGGGCTTCTCTCAGGAGTGATACATAACCTTGCTGGTAGGACCATTTCTACCAGTGGGAGCCCTCCAGCAGATCTGTTCTTAAGTTCTACTTCACCATGTAAACTGCTACACAGTGAATACAGGCTGATTTCCCTTTCACCATTCAGATACCCTCTCCTAGTTTTATGTTCTAGCAGCAGAGAAAAGAAGCTCAGAGTTCTCAGGCAAGATTATTTTCACTGAGACATATGTTGGAGAAATCCAGAACCATTATAGGTTTTCCAGAACCATCATAGGTTTTAAGATGTAGTTGAAAATTTGTGCTGTGGATGGGGTCTGTGGCAGTGAAAGTTACTTTTCCCTGGGAGTTTTATAGGAACTCTTGCTGCACAGATCACTGTGGGCAATGGGAAGAAACACTACAAGATGTGCTTCCCCCCCCCCCCCAGGCACAGTGTGGCTGTCACACAGGCTGGAGTGCATTGGCACTAACAGCTCACTGCAACCTCAACCTGGGCTCAAGCAATCCTCCCACCTCAACCTCCCAAGGAACTGGGACTTTGGGTATGCACCATCATGCCTGGCTAATTTTTTTTTTTTTTCCTGGCATGTGTCTCTAGGTATAAATGCCTGGCTAATATTTTTTTAAAACTTTTTTTGTAGAGATGGAGTATGCTGTCTTGAACTCCTGGGCTGAAGCAATCCTCCTGCCTTGGCCTCCCAAAGTGCTGGGATTACAGGTGTGAACTATGATGCCCAGTCTTTCTTTTCTTTAAAAACTGTTTGAAAACTCCTGTTATTGTGATTTAAGAAAACTTTTTGCCACACCTGACTATAAAGGGAGGGTTACTCAAAATACTAGTGCAGATTACTCTGACATGTGAAATACAAGACTCTACAATTGATGCCGAAAACTTAATACATTGAACTTGAAAAGTTTATCCCTAAACTGTAACCCTCCCAAACCAAAGAGGGAGAGAAAAAAACAACCTTGTTTAAAATCATCAAAAGAGGTTGAATTTTATGAAATGAAGTTACCAAAGTTATGCTTTAGACTTTTCTTCCGATTTGGTGTTGTATGTAATTAAGCAGTTACTTCTGATTTAAAGGAGCAATTTTCTCTTTTTCTAACTCATTCAATCTTCACTTGTACGACTATATGTAAGCTGTGTGGTTTTTCTAGTTGGCTGTACATGTTGTTTCCTAGAACCCATGTACACATGTGTAATGTTTTCATTTCCACTAAGCAGTTCACTCCCTAGATACTATGCTGGTGTTTGTTTTTCTCCTGAGGTCGCCCACATTTTTAATACCTTTTCTGAGTTATTTCTCCTGAAGGAATAACTGTATACTGTACCGAAGCAAATGAGGCTTTTCTTAAACTTCCAGTCTTGGGTTCTGCACATAGCATTTCCATTCGTTACATAGATGAATGAGTTCTTTTTTCCCTACTGACTATTAGGGCCTTGCCTTGTGGCAAGGAATAAGGTGGTGAAGGAAAATATTTTGAGATCTTGCCTGGTTTTAATAGGGAGTTTGTGACACTTAGATTTTCAAATGTTCAGTTTATACCCTTCCTAAATCTGGTTGCAACATATTCAGTCAAGTACTGAAGACATATGGTATGTTTTGCAAGGCACTGGGAAAGAAAACGAACTGAGACAGTGAGACTTTGTGGAAATTTCCAGGGTGGGGTGTTGCAGAGCCTGGGTCCTGGGCCTGCTTGAATCACTCCCTTGGTGGTAGGACCTAATGAAAGCTGCAGTACAGTTGCATCATCTCATATACACAATTGCACAGCACTAGAACGAGAAAGGTGCCACGTAAATAGTGCATGAATTTGTGCTCAGCATTTATTCAGTGAGGGCAGCCCCAGACCGAGCTACCTGTGTATGTGCTCAGGTGATCTCAGTTCCCTTTGTGTTGTAACAGTTTGAGCATCTTGCTATACTGAGAGTGATTCTAGTGTCTAAAGATAACATTTTCAAACAATGTCCCCAAATGTGAAGCCAGCTACTTCATTTGGTGTTTACATGAAGAAATAGATTTACTTTGACATTGGGGGAATACTAGCTATTTATTTTTTAAGAGATGGCACGTGAGTCTTTGTGACATGTAAATGCTAATGTAAAAGATTGTATCCCATGTACTTTATGGATGACTTAAGAGAATTTCAAGGGCAACTTTGACCAAGCACATTTGATAATTGACTTGAGAATAAGACGCAACTAAGTGACTTAGGCTCTCAGTTTCATCATTAGTAAAATATTAGAAGATAAAAATCAAATTATATTTGCAGGAGACACAAGATAACTAAGGAGAGCTATATCACTCTACCTAACAGTAGAGTGATGACAAGAAATTCTTAATCACATGGGCCATTGCCTTTCATTGGGATGGGCAGTCTTGTTTGGCTTGACTCTCTGGTTTGGAGAAAGAACAGTGCAGTTCTTGAGAGCAGTCAGTAGACCAGACTGAATAAAAGCACTTTCTAAATTGCCTCATTGAACACTTGAGCTGCTTGGAGCACCTGGCAGCAACTGCTGCTTGGGAGCTGGCAAAGCTTTCCGTTTAGGAGTGAGTCAGGTTCTCAAATAGCTGAGCAGTGGCCAGTAATTGTAAGTCCACTTAATTCTAAATCAACTTTTCTTTGTCTTTTTACTTGTTATACTCCCAGGTTCTTATTATCTGCACCTTTGTCTTATTGTCTGAGTTCTGTAATGGGTCAGAAATGTGATGATTTGGCTGCCCTAACATCCCGATTCTTTTGAACATCTTAAAGCAAAATGACCTTAGAGATGTTGGCTCGATCTTAGGTACAGCTGGAGTGTACCTAATATTTTATGTGGGTTCATGAGGTCTTCACTATTATATTGGCCAAATAATTTAGTCTAAGCTAACTGACAGGGTGGAAACACTAATATTTCCAGTTCACCCTGGTCAAGCACATTCCCTAGTTAGAGCATGCAAGTGTGGTACTTTACTTTGCTCCAAAAGAAACTTTACAACTCACAGACACTTGGTAAGCTAAGGGAGTGATTTTATAGATAAATTGTGGGAAAACCACACATGTTATCAATAATAACTTATCAGTTAAAACAGTGCAGTAACTATGGAGAACTCCTTTTCCATTAAGATGTATTTAGTAAGCAATTGATGGTAGAAGTCAGAAATATGTGGTTTCCAGCAAACTGGAGGGATTGAGAACTATAGTCAGTCACGTAGCAAGGACATCTGTAATGGGGAAAATACCATGGTCTTCAGGAGGAAGAAGGAGCCCTTGATTTCCAGAACTGTTTTTTCTCATGGGAACCATTTATTGAGCAGTTACAGCTGTAGAAGTTGCTGGGGGAGTTCAAGAGACATCTCTTCCCTCAAGGGGGCTCATTGACATGTAGGAAGTGACTGATGTGTTTGGACCTTTGGGTACTACCTGGTAGTTTGTTTTCTCAGGAACAAACTACTCATTAAATGGAGAAGCAAGCCAATCTAATATCAATAATAGTACTGTGGTCTTAATTATAGTTTTGGCCTCCCTAATAAGACAGGTATGAAAGTTTTCCCTCCCAACACTTAACCAAGGCAATGGTATCTGTGGTTAGTGACGGGTAGAGAGAGATGCTAATCTCAATGTGTCGTCTTTCTCTACTTCCCTTTCCTGTGGCAAATAGAACAAAACCAGCCTCTTTCTGAAGAGGAACACTACCTCTCTACAGGAATTTGGTGCCAAGGTAAAGGGAACCATCAAAGAGAGATGCTTAAAAGGGAATCAAAGTAGTGATAAAAGAGTACTGATTGCCACAAAGAAGACCTACTAAGAATTGCCTTTTTATGGAGAGAACTTAGGATAGAAACACTTAGGAGAAAGGAGCTGACATTAGGTCTCAAGTTCTGGGTGAAGTTCTCCCCCAAAAGAGATGTCACTGGTTTCACTGCCTGCATAGGTAGGATGACTTGGGTATCTCCTTCATCTCCTAAGAAGGTAGTAAGAATAACATAAAACCTAGTGAGGCTGATGTGTGAGGCTTAGCCTCTGAGGGGAAACTAAAACAGACTTTCTTCTTTGGAAAGGTTAGATACAAGGAAGCACGAACAATTTGGGTTTTGGTTTTTTTTTTTTTTTTCTTCTTTTTTTGAGCTGTGGTGCTAAGGAAGGGAAAGCTGGAAGAAGACACTAACAGCCAAGCATGTGTTTGTGGTGGTTGGAGGATTTCTGCACTTCACTTGTAGATGGTGGAATCCTCTGGCAGGGGGAACACCCTTGGGCATGGGTCTGGTGTCAGGTGCTCCGTAGTTTTCTTTGCCTGTGTTTCAGATTCTGCTGGGTGCCAGCAGCTCCTTAGTCAGGCCAGTCTGTGCACTCGTATTAGGCCTGATCAGTGATGTTACTGACCTTCGCCCACGCGGGATAAGTGTCCAGGTGGAAGAGGCTAACTCCCCAGGTGTTGATGGCCACCATGACTATCACCAGTCCAATGACGTTGACCCCCAGGCCAGCTTTCACCTGCAGGACACAATGCAGCACTCTGTCATTCTGACCCTAGTCACTCTTGACCAGGCAGCAGCAGCAGCACAGATCCCCAAGTGCTCCCTGTCTAGGCCCCTAGCCTAAGCCTTGCTCCACCCACATGGCCCTGATTGGTTCCAGACGCTGCATGGGATGCTCTACTGTTGCCTTGTAGGGTGACACAGGACCGTGAAAGGACTGGAAAGGCAGAGATTGGGGCTGGGAGAGGGTGATTAGAATCATCCTAACTTTTTGCTCGCAGCACTCTCACCGTAAAGTGGAAGCCTAGAAGGTACGTTAGATTCTTGGGACACCAGATCTGTGTGAAGTTATTTCTGCAGTTCAATGATAGGGAAATGTGTTAAAATTGACCAGGTCTCTTTTAAGCAGGAATTTCTCAGAGCCTCTTATGTGCAAACACACACAGGGACCTTGTACGAGGGGCTATGTTATTTGAAGCCTTTGCCACTGTTACTTTTTTTTCTTCTTCAAGGAACAGCTCATGGAAGGTCGTGTACCTTGGGTTCACATGGGGAAACAGGTCAGCTGCTTCTGCTCAGCCCTTCTCAGGAAGGTGACAGAGGCTGCTATCTGGGGTAGGGCCTTTGCTTCTTTCTTCTGAGGGCATCGCACCTCAATAGCTCTGCCCCCTTTTATTTCTGCCATGACACTGACAGAATGTGAGGGGATGTGAAGAATGGCACAGCCAGGGCCAGATGGAAAAATGTATACAGTAAGGACAGCTGGCATTCTTCCAGGCAGTAACTAAGACTACAGCATGCAAGTCCACTAGCTGGCATTAAGTTGGGAAAATTGCAAGGGAAAAGTGGATGTTGGGAAATTGCTCCAAGCAAAGGGCTAGGTGTGTCCTCTCTCTCCTGCCTACTGGCCAGGGCCCTGGAATTCTCAATCATCCTGGCCCCCTGGGCCTTTTGGCATGGGGAACAGCCCAGATTTCTGAGCTAATGAGAAGGAGCAGGTTCTAACATAGCGAAATTAAAGTCCTTTAGAGCTGAAAGGGACTCCATCCTCATTTAGCAGATGAGGAAATTGAAGTGTTGACATAGTGCCCAAACTGAGAATAGAACCCAGGACTGACTCACTTGTCATCTGGGACCTTTGAAAATTATCGTCTTGGATCATTTGATTCCAGTGTAGAAGGCTGGGGAGAATGGTGGGAGTACATAGCCGAGGAAGTGGAACTTGTGGAACAGTCAGCTCAGCCTGAGCAGACCGAGGGTTATGCAGTAAGATAGGAGGGGGGGAGAGGGATGGCCATGACCTCTTTTCTGGGAAGTATCACAGATAACTTAGATAAGCAGTTTGAATAGTCCAAAGAACCTAATACGTGCCAACAGCCTGAAACTCTTCCATTCCTCCATTTGATATGTTACAGGACTGCTGAGAACAAGTTTGGACTCCCATGAAAAACAGATTTCAGACCATCAGCAAGGGTGAATGGGCCCTATTTCGGACAGTCAGGTCCCAGTAATTTATATCAGTGTTTTCCATCCTCTCCCCAACCCCCATCAGCCCTGGGTATTGAGAAGCATAGCAATGTGTCTAGCTTGAGGAATGGAGGAGGGTGGATAAGTCCAACACTAAAGTCAGCAGCAGAATGTCTCCTCAAAGCCATCTTTTGTGAGCCCAAATGAAAACAGAAATGAATGGAAGATGCTTCATTTTCCATTGGTGCCTCAGGGGTTTCTTGCTTGGGGAAGAGTTGAGCAGAAGAATCTTGTTTTCATAAAACCCCTTTCACTCTAGGTTCATACAGTTTCTCATACTTCATCCTCTATGAATAAACCAGCCGCCTTTTGAATGAATATCCCCACTGGTCCAATGAAGAAACAGGCAAAGCTTTGTGCAAGCTCATGCCTTCTGGAACTGGGCCACTGCCTGTGTCTGTTCCAGCTCTAGCTAAGTACCTACTTTCTTCCAGGTAAGGGTGGGGGAGCACAGTATTGCTATTCTTGGTCCATATGGACCAACCAAAAACCTTTTCACAGGCCCCATTCTTTCTGCCACACTCTGTTGAGTGTTGACAGTCCAGGGACACTGCTACAGTATAGTAAGCTCTGGGGGAAGGCTACGGAGCAGGTCATCCCTGTCCTCGTGGCAGCTGGGCCTGGTCGGGGAAGGCAGCCACAACTCACCATATCTTTGATCTGGCAGTGCCCGTAGCTGAAGACGATGGCATTGGGGGGATTGCCCACAGGCAGCATCACTGCAAAGGAGATGCACATGGTGACTGGGATCAGGGTGTAGAGCGGGTTAATATGCAGCGTTTCAGACTAGAAGAGAGAATTCACAGAAACATCAGTGTTGAAATTAGCTTGTGTTTCCTGTGTTTAACATCACAAACATGCTGTAAATGATGGTTTGGCATTGGCTGACCTTAGCTGGACGCCATAGGCTGGGCGCAGTTGGGTCCCTGTCTTGCAGGGCATGCAGTGCCCTTGGCAGCCTAAATGGGCTGATGCTACTCACTCACCAGGGGAATATGGCTTTGAGTTACTTCCTAGGAGGGGTGTTTGATTTTTTGGTGCTATTTTAAGGAAGTTTTTTTTGTTTTGTTTTGTTTTTTAAGAGAGAGGATCTCACTCTATTACTCAGGCTGGTATGCAGTGGTGCAATCACCGCTCCCTGCAACCTCAAACTCCTTGGCTCAAGTGATCCTCCTACCTCAGCCTCCTGAGTAGCTGGGATTACGGGTCGGGTACCACCACTCCTAACTAATTTTTTTTTTGAGAGATGGGGTCTTGCTATGTTGCCCAGGCTGGTCTCAAACTCTAGGCCTCAAGAGATCCTCCTGCCTTGGCCTCCCAACGTGCTGGGATTATAGGTATGAGCCACCATGCTTGGACTTGTCCATTCTTTTGTTTCTGCTCAAGGCTGCCCCTAAACTAATTCTACTCTTTCAGAAAGGAGTTTCTAGAACTCTTGCTATGATTTACTAATGTGCTTTTTATTTATCAGTCACCAGTTGAAAAACTTCATTTTTCAAATGATAAGTTGAACACCAATCAGTAAAGACTGTGGGCAGTGACCAGAGGAGAGGGTACAGTCATAGGAGCTGCCCTGGAGCCAGGCCTGCCACTGAAGGCCTTGGGGTAGCCTGTCTGGACATCTGGGAGTCATATTACTCACCAGGCTGCACAGGATAGGCAGAAAGATGGTGATGGTGGCTGGGTTGCTCACAAACTCAGTGACAATGGACACAAGGATGCATGCCAGCAGGGTGACAGCCCATGGTGGGAGACTGCTCAGGGACAACATCTGGTTCCCAATCCATGTAGAGAGGCCAGAGCTCTGCAGGAAGAGAAGGTGTTACAGTAAGAAGAAAGGAGGAAAAGCCCATCCCAAGTGGAATTCTTAGACTTTAGAAGGTCAGGGATGTGGGAGGGCTGGACCATCAGGGGCCATCTGACCTGTCTTATTCAGTCTGACTAGAGCCAGAGATGTTCCTGATTTTTATGATTAGATCACTTTTGTAGCCCAGAAAATTCTTTTGTATGCTTGCCTGTGTAAATTCAGACTTTGGGTTTCCTGGTCACTGATCATCACCCGGTGTAGAGAGCCACCCACCCTAATTGCTGTGATTCTTCTTAGGATTTTGCCCTGATGGCTTTGTAGGTTGGAGATCTTTATGCCTCAACTTCAATCTTGTTTCCCTTCCTCCAGCCCCTGACAGCCTTACTCTGTGTATTGACTTGACAGTGCCCTTCACACACAGTGCCAAGTATAATCTTTTATTCTGCTTTTGAAATCCATTTCTGTTATTTCATCATAACATAAGAAAGGGAAAAAAATTACCAACATTTTTGGATAGTAACCTCTCCTGTGTTTTTAGGGGGTAAGTAGGCCAAGTTGGACACTAGAAGTTTTACAAGAGTAATGAAGCAGAGAAGGATTAAAAGTCTACCTCTATTTAATGGAGAATGTACCTCCCAACTGCCTGCAACCTAGTCATTCAGCCCTGATGTGTTTAGCCTCAAACCCCATCATGGCTTTAATGTTTTACTATTAAAGACATTAGGATCTACTATCTGCCAGCACTTTTTGAAGACACATGATAAGAAGGCATATTGCCCATCTTGAACCTTTTTCATTAGTAACATTTATATACATCTACTTAAATGAATATTCCCATTTGGAATAATTCACTGGGTTGGAAGATGTTCACTTGCCAATGGTGAAGGCTGACTCCTTCTCCTAAAAAGTGAAGGACACCATTGAGTATCTGTACTAGAAAACCCCAGGTTGCCATATGCATTCTTCCTCCCTCCCTTCCCTCCTCCTCCTCTCTGTCCTGTGGTTGCCATACTCTGACTTTTCCTATGCTACCCTAGAGAATGCAAATGCAATGAAGATATGGAGAGTGGGGCAGAAAGCAAGGGGAGAGATTTTATGATCCTGCAAGGTCTAAGTTCTGCTACTCATGTTTCACTACTAAAAACAGCCTTCACTACATTGTCAGCAGGATACTTTGTCTCTTCTTTTCCAAATTCATCAAAAGCTCATTTGATCTCTGCAGCACGCTGGTCACCCCCTGGCAGGCACATAGACTGATGACCAAAGGCCTTCAGAATTCTCTCTGTTGTAGCCATTTCGCCTTGGAGAACTTTTTTTCCTTTTTTCTCTCAACTGACTGAGAGCTACAAACCCAATATGTGGAGACCGTATCAATTAATGGTTGGTACAGAGCCTCGAGGCCTACAGGAACTCTGTAATCGTCCCCTCTCCTAACATACTAAACCTTGCTCATTGGACAAAGGCAGTGGAGGGAAGAGCAGTTAGTTGAGTGGAAAAAGTACATTTATAAAGAAATAGAGTTTTACTTAACATGTTATCCAAATAGTACTTATAAATAAAGTAAAAGAATTTAATGGCATTTATTTTTCCAGAACTATTTTATGCTATAATTTGAAATAAACTGATAAGTCAGACTGCAGAGTTAGACAAAGCACAAAAAAGCAAGTCTTAATTTTTTAAACTCTTGGTTATGAAAATATTTTACATTGTATTTTTCTCACTAATGTCAAGATTGAAATTATTTCTCACTCAATAGGAATCACATATATGGTAACTGGCTTACGATTAAAATTAGGTAGTCAGTAGGTTTTATAGAAATAGCAACCATACTATCTGTAATACATGCACAATTTTGATTTTTAAAAAAAGTCTTATCAGCCTAGACTCAGGGGCCAAAATTAACAACTGAAATTTAATAAGGATAAATATAAATATACTGAACTTGGAATTAAAAATATTGACAGGTGGGGTGTGCTGGCTCATGCCTTGAATTCCAGCACTCTGGCAGCCTGAGATGGAAGGATTGCTTGAGCCCAGGAATTCAAGACCAGCCTGGGTAACATAGTGAGACCCTGTCTCTAAATAAATAATAAATGAATGAATAAATAAATAAATATTGAAAGCACATATAGAGGATGGGTTGGAGGAATTGAGGTCCAATAGTGGCTAACAATTAAAAGAATGAAGGGTTTTAGTTGACTTCAGTTTCAATAAATGTTAACGTGAGTGCCAAGGACACTTTACAAAAGCTTCCATAAAAATGCAGGGTGATGCTTGAATCAGAGGTGAGAGATGAGGCTTGGGTATGTAACTGTTCTATTTTGCAGTAGACTGACCACCAGCCAGACCATGTTTGAACAAGGCCAAGTGTAGTGAGTCCTAAGGAGAGAGACCAGATGGTAAGGGGTCACGACTTGATTTTTTATTTTAATAATTATTACCCAGGAAAGGGTTCTAGAGAGCAGAGCCAGAGTCAACAGTGGATAACATATAGAAGACCTGGGCTGAAAGTAAAGAAGAACTATTCTTTATTCTCTGCACAGAGAGTGCCCTGTCACTAGAGGTGTCCAAGCTAGGAATGTCATGGAGGGAAATCTCACACTGAGCAGGAGGTGGGACTTGGTGTCCTCTACAATTCCTGCTGAGTGTAGGATTCTGTGACCTTATTATTAATGATGCAGATAGTACATAGGCCTGCAATGAATGGGCAATCAAAAGTGAACCGAGTTTAGAAAGGAGTTAATGCCAAGGTGGAGGAAGAAACAGTCTGTACCTTAACTTAATTCCTTCTTAGGATTGTTTTCTATTTAGCAAGGCTAACACTTCAGGGAATTCAACCATTTCCTCCCAACCCCACTTAAAAGATCTCATCCCAAATCCAATCAAGAAGTCAAGATACATTTGCATTGGCTTTAGCGTAGATTCTTCAAAGGGGCTCAGTCTGTGTATACTGACTGACTGAGGGCAAGTGTATCACTTGGGACATCTCTGGTCCCTTTCAGACCCATCTCCCATCACCACCGCCAGATCCCAGAAGAAGATGGCTACAAAATCCTTTTGCTAGTGGCAGTGTGGGTGACATAATTGAGGTGTGAATGCCTGTGTATCATGACTTCATGGCATGGCTGACCTATAAGTAACTGTTCCCAGCAGTGCCAACAGAGAAGCTCAGGGCAGGACAGGACATCCATCCTGCTCTATTGCTTCTCTTCCCAGTGACTTGGTGAATATTCACCTCTCAGCTCCTTTGAGTCTTTCCTCCTAGGGCCATAATGACTCACTAGGTAAAGATGCCAAAAAAATATTTGACCCCTAAGAACAGAATTGAAGGGTTACCTTGCTACCAGAGGCCAAAGCATAGCCTCCTCCAACCAGAATGACAATCTCCCAGGGCATGGTCTTCTGAAAGTCCTTCCATGTGATGATGGGCTCCATCCTCAGAGAGTGCTCGTGGTCCTCTCCTGAATCACATGTAGAGAGAGATGTAGAGCTAGTTAAACCCTGATGGGTTTGATTTGTGGAGATAGGGGCCCAATTAGTAACTCAGATGATTTAGGAGACTGTTCTGCTAATTTGGGGGGAGTCTGAAGAACCTTGATAAGTCTCCTTCAGAACATTCTGATGTGGGTATTCCTTCAACTAGAGCCACCCCCAACTTCTTCCCTTGAACCTTCTCTCACCATCATTCTTTTTTCCAAAGCAGGGTTTCTTTGCTGGAATGAGGAAGAGGAGGAAGCCAAGGAAGACAGAGACGGTGGCATCGGTGCGGTAGCCTTTCCTAGCAAAGAGACAAACGTGGCTGGAGGAGGAGGGTTGGGAATGCACAGGAGTAACACGGTGTCTCAGGACAGTCTGTCTGAACACAGTGCCTCTTTTTAGGACTTAGTCTGGAGGTGGCATCAACCTTACTTCTTGCCAGTTGCTGCTGTGCAACTGGCACAGTCCACAATCCACAGTGGATTTCATGGGCAGTGGTTAAAGCAGGAGGCAGGGCCTGGCTAGGGTAGATGTATTAGTGTGAATTTATGGGCTCATTAACTGGGGCAAGTCCTGGAAGAAGTGATCAAGAGTTGGTTCGATAAAGGAGAATAGAAAAGGATGAGACCTTTTTCCTGTGAGGGCCACACCTCAAATGAGAAGTTGATATTGGGAGAGCTTGTAGGCTTCTGCCCTGTGGCCCTGGCTGTTCTGCAGTGGTGGTACAAGAACCTGTGTATCCCTCTTGTGGTATCTTCCTTCCTTCCATATGCCTCAGCCCCTCTATGGCCATCGTCTCTTTACAGTTGCTTCATAGATTTATTTTCCCCCTTAACCTTCATAACAGGCTATGAGATAACTAAGATACCAAAAGCTTATATAAGAAGACTGAAGTCACACAGCTGGTAAGTGGCAGCACTGAATACCAACTCCAGACTGGGACTCCAAAGACTGTATTTTCTTCCTGAATGCACAATGCAGCTTCCCTAAAAAGAGTAGATTTCCCATGGAATGAAATGTTTCCTGGATTGATGTCTGCCCCTGAGAGTCTATGAAGGGACACCAGTGGTTAGTTATTGCCTGAAGAATTTGGGTAAGGAGGTTGCTCTTTTCTTTTTTTTGATTCTGTACTTCAAGGGATGCAAAGGAGGGTTGCTCTTAAGGAGAAAAAGATATCACTTACTTTTCAAAGAAAGAATCCCAGCCAGGGACAAAGCCAGGCTCCCGGGTAAACCACAGCACTGTCATCAGGATGAAGAAAAATCCAGTCACCATTTCAGGGTAGCTATAAAATAAAACAAATTTATTTTAGCTTCTTCACTTTGCTCTGGAAGCTTCTGTGTTCAGAGTTCTAACACTAGAGACATAAAACACAGTTACTGCCTAATTGCTATGAATGGCTGACTCTGAAATGAGAAGAGGACCGAGTGCTACCAGAAAATATGACATTAACCATGTTTACTGGAGAAATTTACATGAGAAGGGAAAGAGACCAAATTTATAGTATACATTTGTAAAATAATTCCACATACAGCCTACAAGGAGAATGCAGTGAACTGGGCACCCTCAAACACTGTGCTGGTGGGAGTAGGAATTGCTACAGCCTTTTTGAGGCCATTTGACCATATATACCAGGAGCCTTAAATTTGGTCATTTCTATCATCTAAGAAAATAACCAGAAATGCACACTGAAACATTACCTATTAAAGAATGGAAACAACCTCCATATGCAATGATATCCCCTGACACTGAATACATTTTGGTACTAATACATGTTAAATTGGGATGCATCTTCTGATAATCATGTTTCTACAGCAGAGTTAATGACATGGGAACATAATGACAGTATAATGTTAAGCGAAAAGCAAGATACACAACTATGTTCAGTATGGACTTTAATTTTGCCAAAAATATATATAGTTTTGCACACACACACACACACACAAAAAACATGGAAAGAAGTACATCATGTTAATAGTTAACACTGGGATGCTAAGATTGTAAGTCAATTTTAATTTTTCCTTATATTTTTCTGTATTTTCTAAATGTTCTACAATGAACATGTATTCCTGTTATAACTTAAAACTTTAAAAAAATACAGTGTCTACCTGAATTGTTTTACCCAAAGCTGTACATGGTGTAGACGGAGAAACTGCCATAAATTGAGAACTAAAACTAGAAAGGATGCCAGGTCACTGTGGAAAAGCTGATAGAAGTGGCTAATGGTTGGTTAGTGAATGCCTGACCTTCTGTCTTCAGGTCCGTTTGATGCTGCTGTATGCTCTAAATACAGCACACAGTCTCCCAGCTCCCTCGAGTGACCCTTGGACCACTGCAGAGGGCCATTTGAGCAATGGGCAGAGTCCTGGCTGAAGAGCAAATTCGGCACATTCTGAGAGGGTAGCTGTGATGTCTTTCCCTGTTCTTTCTCCATCCGCCCCACTGACAGCACTCCACCCCCACACTGCGGACTCCCAATATAGCAAAGGGGAAGGGTGGCTATCTGCAATCTGGGCCAGCTCGACTCTGGCATTAAATAGCATCTTCTAAATGCCTGGATTCATAGCCGTGGAAAATTTTCCCAGCGTCAGGGACTGTCAAGAACAAGGCTGCTTCTGTGCTCACTTTACCTGCTGTGTCTGCTCGCCTGGAGAAGGAGAGAAAGGGAGGGCTGGTTTTTACCTAATATCTCCCAGCTTTTCATATTCCTCCTGGATCCTCTTCTCTGATAACTCTTCCCTTTTGGTCTTCTTCTTCTTGCTCAGAGAGCAGGTGTCTTTAAAACTGAGAAGGGAGAATGAGCAAATGATTAAAGAAAACATGTTTCTGAGGCCCAGAGGAGACCAAGTTTTAAGCAAATACTAAACCACTCTCCTGCTGTGCTCACTTTTCTCCTTTTCACTCACATGCTCCATCCCTCTGTCTCTCACCTATTCCTACAACTTCCATCTGCCACGTTCTCCAGCCTCTCATCAACTTTGACCCCTAGGCTTTGGGTATATCCATCTGGGTATATCTCTGGTATATTGATGTCAAATTATGTCTTATGGACTTGTGCAAGTGTACTTACGTGAGGTTGTTTCTACATGTCTTTTGCATAAGTAAAAGAATCGGTGTAATGTGGGGTATGTGTCTAGATATGTATGTGTTCTGTTCCACATGGGGGAGGTGTGTGTGTTCATTTGTCTAGAGACAAACCTTATCTGGGGTAACAGTTGGTGTTAGTTTGATATTAGCAATACCAGTTAAGAAGTATATAGCCATCACTGGTTTGACAACAGTCTCTGAGTAAAAAGAAAAGTCAGAGAATAGTCTTTACCAATGGGACTAATAGCAAAACATTATATATATATATATATCTCCCCTTTATGTGTTTGAAACTGATAAAATCTGGAGTAGACCGATAGTTATGAAGAAAAGGTTTGCTAAGCAGATTAATATCAGAAATAACATTGCAAGGGAAATGTCTAACTTATTATTTTAAGGGACATGAACCTATTTCATATAGGCTACAAAGTCATGTCTATAAAATTAAACCTAAGGCAAATTCTACTTGGAGTCATATTGCCTAAAGTAGTTGGAATTACTCTATTTGCTATGATATCATTGCTTTGAAAGCAATAAAACTACATTAAACGCTCTCCAATTCAGACTTTTCATAAATCAGACAGGCCTTCTAATATTTCGTTGGAACTAAGAATGTTTCACTGTAGAGCTGAGAGTGAAGTACTGAGTGTCTGAACGTTTAGAATGTCTAGAACAGACGACGCCTGGCTCCCGATCCAGTCCACTGCATTCTCCTCGGGGCATCCTCTGTGGGTACTTGGCGGTCCCCCTCAAGCAGAGCCATGGCCTTGGGATCAACAGGAGAGCCCCAGTGCTTTGCTGGAACGGTGCTGGGACTCACTTGCAGCCCAGGAACAGCCAGTGCATCCAGAACCAGCTGACCACCAGCATGATGAGGGATATGGGGAAGCTGAACAGGAACCAGGTGCCGAAGTTCACCACCTCTGCGGCTGGGTACTGGCTGTGGAGTACAGAACCAGGTCAGTGATTAGAAAAGGGAGGATTCCATATGGCATTTTGGGCTGGTAAGCTAAATGCTCCTTAAGAAGACAAACAGCAGGGCTAAGGGGAGAGATAACGACAAGAATATGGTAAAACATTACTGAGAATTCACTTATTTGACAGTTGCAACTGTACAGAGCCCAGACAAGGATCATGAAGTAAACTGAAACAGGCATCTAAGCAACCAAAATGAGTATCACTAAAGTGTATATACTTTTCGCTCAAAAGAATTACTCAGGACCTATTCGCCCTTAATTTACATAAAGATCCTGCTAAGTTGATTCATCTGGTTTTCAAGACAGCACAGACTGGAGAGGGCAGTCTGGTGTATAAACTCACTGAGGGAATGTGAATTTTGACTGGGGAACCCAGGGTAGCCAATTCTGGAGAACTCTGGGCTCTGGGGCCTCGTGGGAGTTCCAGGTAGTAACGGTGCCCATAAGAAAATCAGGACTTGGAACTTCCAAAACTTTATCAGCATCCATTGCTGTCTTGGGGTAGAGGGAATTTTCCCAGAGGACTGCTCATTTGTCATCAGGTAGACCTATGGCCCCCAACTCAAGGTGTTTCCTGGGGAGCTGGGATGGACCACACATGAGCCATGATTTTTGCCCAGATAAAGCTCAGGCCTAAATGGCCGTGTTTCTTTTTCACTGGGTCTCTCTTTTGGGGGCTTGGCATAGAACTCCTCCAAGAAGGGAGATGATCATGCCCCTCTTCTCACACCAGGCCCTGCAGGATTCCTAAAAGAGAGAATGCAATGAAAGCAAGAGTGTTTAGTCTTCTCTACTGTCCTGGGGACATTCGCTCTACTGCACTGTGGCCTGGTCGTGGATTTACTTTCACGTGTGCTTCTTGGAGCTGAGACAGCTTATACCCTGTCTAAAGGCTGGAGTGAGCCACTGATGCATTGGGAAGAAGGGCTTTAGGAGCCATGAGGATGCCACAGGACATGAACCACTCAGTGACTCACTGTGGCAACCCTGGGCTGACATAATATGTTGCATCATCTCTTCTCTGGTCATAGAAGCCCAGGTCCTGCTCCTGGACCCAGAAAAGGAATGGGATTTTAGAATAGATTAAATACATTTTTTGTGGATAAATGTGAGGGCTTAATGCCATTTATAGCATTTTTCAAAAGTGAGAATATATATATAGACTCGTTTAACAATGAATTTGTAGGTTTTTGAAACATCCAATATGAACTTTGGGGTGGTCTGTTCACTAATGCCAGGTAAAACAACCTGGAGGTGCTTTCAGACCAGAATAGAGGCAGGGGCACCCCTTTCTTTCATAGGATGCCCATTGTTCAGGTAAGCAACAATTTTGGCTAAATGTGCTATGTTGCCACCCAAGAAGTAGAATAAAAGGATTTGAATTGGCCCAACCACAAAGTGAACCAGAAATTAAAGACCGGAAACTCAGAGCCTGGACAGAATAAAATGGCATGAGGACTCCATGAGCTTAGATCCTGGGGAATCGGGTCTTAAACTTTCAGTGGTCATTGCTTCCCCCCTCTCTTCCTCCTCCCTCCTTCCACCCTTTCTTCCTACCTTCTTTGCCCTTTCTTCTCCTTCCTGCCTTCTTTCCTTTCTTTTCCTTCCTGCTAAAATGAAAGACGTGTTTCTCCTCTTTTCTCTTATCAATTTCTCTACTCTCTGCTCCAGATCTCATCCTTTTTTGTTTCTCAGTGACATCACTCTATCAATTATCCCCTCTCTCCCAGATCTTTAATTTTCATCTCATCTGGATCATCCCTACCAGCACTGAAATGTCTTCCATCTAAAACCTTTCCTCACCCTACTTTACTGTCCTCGCACATCTTTCCTTCTCTCCGCAGTCCACTCTCCATTTCCTACCTCCTCTTAGTCCTCAACTCACCGAAATCTGGCTTCTTTTCCCCCAAGTTGGCCAAATTCCTCTTGTCTAGATCACCAGTAACCTCATGTCACCGAATCTAATGGACATATTTTTGTCCTTATTTTACATCATGATTCCTTGACAATTCAATATTGTAGCCACTTCCTCTTTCTTCAACACTTTTCTCCCTTGAGTAGAATGACACCAGATTTTCCTGGATTTCCTCTGTCCTGGCTAATAATACTGTTTCTTTCTGTCTTTTGTAGTCTACTTGAAGTATTTGCACTTCATCTTTATGCCCTCTGCTCTACTTTATATATTCTAAGTAGCCTCTAGTCCTACAGCTTCCATTACCCAGGGGCAAAATGAACGTAGGCCATTTGGTCAAAAGTTATTAAGAATCTCTAGACAGGACAGCATTAAATCAAGCATGAGGCCCTTCTGGGCACAATGGCCCTGTCATTGCACGCCCGTAACACCAGCCCTACAGGCCACCGACTCCAAAACTATGCCTTCAGTCTAGATATTTCTCTTGAAATTCACACCTCTGTCTCCACTAAACATCTCAGCCTCTGGGTCAACTTTTCCAAGACCCCATTCCTCGTCTTTGCCCTCTGTTCCCAGCTGTTGAGGCCAGGAGCCTAAGACGCAGACTTGGCCTTTCCCTCTCTCAGGTCCTTTCTGATCCTACTAAGACTCATCACATTACCTCTGAATATCTCTCAAATCTGACCATTTCTCCTCTGCATCGCACTGTCATCCAAGGCCACCACGGCTCTCTCCTGGGCAACCGCAGGAGTGTCCTAAATTGTCTTCCTGCTGCCTGCTTTCTCCCTCCCAATCTGTTCTCCATTTTTTCATCCAGAATGAGTGTTCAAAACCATAAATCTGATCGCCTCACTCCCTGCTTAAAATTCCTTAAAGGCTTCTCACGGCCTTTTGGGTGAAGTCCAAGTTCCTGAGTGGGCCTTGCCAAGCCCTGGAGGTCTGCCTGCCCCGCACTCTGGCCTCCTTTCCCCTCTGTCATTTTCTTTTATGTGCTCCCTTCTCCTGCCGTGGGGCCTGCCTACACTGTTTTCTTTGTCTGGAAAAATCTCCCTTCATCTAATTTACTCTGACTCATCCTTCAGGTTTCCACCTGGTCTCCTCTTCAGGGAGGCATTTTTTCCCTGCAGATGGGCAAGCACCCCAGCTCAGCATTCCTGCAGAATTCTGGACTTCTCCAGTCTCACTTAACAGTGATGACTTGATTTTTCCCTCTCAGTACAGAAGCTGTTCAGTTTGGTTTTCTGCTATATCCCCAGCACCTGGCCCAGTTCCTGGCACAGTGGGTGGGAAGTCAACATGTGTTGAGCGAGGGAGTTGCTTACTTGTTGAAGTGTTCCAGGAAGATGAGGCTGGTGGAGGTGCCAATGATGGTGGTCAGGCCGCCGATGGTAGCAGCATAGGATATGCTCAGAGAGAGGCACTTGCAGATCATTTGGTCATGGTGAGACCTGTACTTTTTGTTCAGCTCCTGGTTCCTGGGGCTGGGGGTCACGACTAGTGGCTTTTCCTGCCAAAGGAAAATCAGAGGATCTCTCCAACCCAGCTCGGGCTGTGCGGCACACAAAGCTTGGGAGGCAGGAGGCACCATGGTGCAGCAGAAAGGTTTCGAGCTTGGGTGTCGGAAAGACAAATCCCAATTTCTACCATTTTCCAATGTGGGCATGCCTCCAAGCTGTAGTTTCTTCTACAAGATGGGGAAAAATCATATTTTCTTTGCTCTTATTGTGAAAGGCAAATGAAGTAATATATGCAAAGTGCTTAGAACACTACTTGGCATTTAATGAATGATAAACTATAATATTTGTTATTAATGTTTATTATTATTAATATTTTTTGATATCTCACTTTGTTGCATGGGCTAGAGTACAGTGGCATTCTCAAAGCTCACTGTGCAACCTCAAACTCCTGGGCTCAAGTGATCTTCATGCCTCAGTCCCCCGAGTAGCCAGGATTATAGGTATGTGCCACCATGCCTGGCTAATTTTTCTATTTTTTGTAGAGATGAGGGTCTCGCTCTTGTTCAGGCTAGTCTTGAACTCCTGACCTCAAGCAATTCTTCTGCCTCGGCCTCCCAGAATGCTAGGATTACAGGTGTGAGCCACCACACCCAGGCAATTAATATTATTAACATTGACAGTATGGTTTATGTTTTGCTTAAACTCCAGGAAAACTGGTTGCCCTCCACTCTGTGTTTGAATAAGAAACAGAAGATAGCCATTCTATGTTGCGTTAGAATGACAGGAATCGGCATTTCCCCCTCTCTCAGGCCCTTTTTAATCCTACCAAGACCCATCAAGTTACTTCTGAATATTTCACAAATCTGACTATTCAAGCCCATCAAGTCCTGATGGGGAGAGAGCTAAAAAATAAGCCTTGGATTACATTAAAAATCTAGCTTTCATTGGGAAGATGGTTGAAATGTATGATTCTTTCTTCCCTTCCTTCCTCACTCTCTTCTTCCTGCCTGTTGGCTTTTCCTTGCTGCTTTTTTCTTCCCCCTTGCCTGTAAGCCCCAGCCTAGCTGTGGGCCTCTCAGGCCCTGCTGGTCCTGATGACAGCCTCTCGGGGCCAGAGAGGTTGCTGAGCTCTGGACTCCAGTGTGAATCCAAGAAGCAAGTGCCCCTGTTCTGCCCCTCCCCCCATGCCTGGCCACTCTTGCTGATTCTCAAGAGACTAGGAGAGGAGCTGGCACAAATGTCAGCAGTCAGGTCATAACAAAACCAGTGGGGAAGAGGCCACCTTGCTACACTTCTCAAAGCCCTTCACCATTGCCCCGTCTTCCTAGGAGAGCTGAAGAAAGACTTGGCATACATCTATTTTGTAACTGGAAGTTTATCTGGGGGCTAATTGCATGTGGTCAGGGAGACTTGGATTTGAATCAAGGTGCTCTTCTTCATAGCCCTGGGTACATAATTTCATCTTTCTGCCTTATTTGCAAAACTGGAGTTCAAAGTCACTACTTCACTGAGCCAAGACCAGAGAGAAAATGCTGAGCACAGTGCTTGGTAAACAATAAGCATTTCATAAATGCTGACGGTTATTTATGATGATGATGGATGTTGAATAAGTGAGAATGTTATGATGAACACAAAAAGTTGAAATCGAGGGTTATAAGTGACAGCTGCCTTAACATTCATTTGATTTCTGCATTTTGTTTCAGTGGTAAGTAGCAGAAAGATCCTAATTCATGCAGAAAAGCAGTTGCCTTACAATCTAAGGATACTAAAAAAAGAAAGAAAAAAAAAAAGGTTCAGTGTTTCCGAAGCACCTTTGAGGAATAGCTTGAGCACCTCTGATCTAGACCAACCCTTAGCTTTTATGCTTGAAGAAGCTGGGGCGTGGAAGCTGGGCTGTTTTGCCAAAGTCAGGGGAGCTGGAGGTCTCATCTCCATGGTGCACACGGGCCAGACATGTATGTGGGGAAAGAGGGCCTGGTGACAGCTCACCAGCCCGCCGCCCTCGCAACTTCAAGACCAGTGCCCTTGGAAAGCTCAAGGCATTTTAGGAAGGAAACAGGGCCAGAAGGTGCAGTTCCATTACCTGGGACAGGTGTTGCTTCTTGCCCTGGTGTTGGTTTGCTGTCTTAATGGGGCTGGTGATCGTAGGCACACCATTCAGGTTCTGTTGGGACAAAGGCCATCACTCTATTAGGAAGCGAATGTGGTGAGCTCCGTGCCTTGAAACGAAGCACCTAGTCATCCCAGGCCACCCGTCCTCAGCACGTGGGAATGAGAGAGCAGCACGGGGTGGGGGTGGCCCTCACCCACACCTGCCTCTGTCCCATGCTCCCCCGCCAGCCTGGTGTCAAGCACCCCACTTGAAGAGGCTTTTGAAACTTGGTAGACCATGGCCCTGTCCTTATAGGACAGCCAGACTTTCTGGGACTTCCTTAGGTAATGAAGAACCCTTCTTTTTTCTTTCTTTCTTTTTTTTAACAAAGAAAATGAAAACTAAAATCTCACCATAGCAAAGTCCACAGTTTCACTGGTCTTTCTTACCTCTCATGAAGAGATGTAAAACCAGCATTGGGGGAAAGGGGTGGGTTCGAGTAGCAGTGTGCAGTTAACTTTGCTTTCCCCTATAAATGTGTCCCTTTTAATAAGATTGTGTGGCCAAGCATGGTGGCCCACACCTGTAGTACTATCTACTACTCGGGAGGCTGAGGCTGGAGGATCAGTTGAACTTGAGTTTGAGGCTGCACTGAGCTATGTATGATTGCACTGCTGCACTCCAGTCTGAGTGACAGAGTGAGACCTTGTCTCAAAAAAAATTTTTTTTGTAAGTGGAATCCCTGCTGAGAGGAATTCTAAGGTTGAATCTGTGGCTCTTAAAAATCTAGATGGCTGAGTCTTGGGTTTCCATGAAAAGAAGTTAGCTGTACTTTAAAGCCAGTACTCCAGACCGGGGTTCAGAACCCCCCAGGCCCTTCTTACATCCCGGCCTGTGTGAGCGCCTCCCCTCCCTTACATCCGTGGGGGCTGCTGGGCTCCAGGACAAGCTGCCAGGCGTCTCTGTCCCTCAGCTGTCTTGAGGGACTGCCAAGTGATCCCAAAGCACAGAGAAAACCCAAGGCCATACCTTGCTGTGCATCAGAGAAGCGAGGTCTGCAGTCGAGGTGCTGGAACAAAGCAAAGGAAACGGGAGCAACAGTGGCCCAGACTTGAGGAGAGGGCAGTTCTCCTGCGTTGGGCGTTTGGTGTAAGGGACTTAAACTCTCTGGACTCAAGTTTTGTAGCCTGCAAAGAAGGCTGATCCGCCCTAGTCTTCCTTGCCTTCTGAGATGCTGTAAGGATTCCTGGAGCCAGGGGCTGCTTCCTCCCGAGGGCAGAGGCAGCATGTTTCCTTTGAATCAATACTAACTCCTAACAATAGCGGACATGGAGTGCTTATTAGGTGCTGAGCACTTAAATATGGGCTTTAATTGTCATGACATCGTGAATCCTCATAACAGATCTATGGGACAGGGATTACAACCTCTATATACACCATCACTTGGTGCCTGGATGCTGAGTTGGGGAGTGGGCTAGGAGTCCGCCTCTGTCTGACCGAGAGCCTGCACCCTGGACCACGTCCTCGCTGGCTGCCTTGGGGAAGGCCACTATCTAGACAGAGGAACTTGTGACATGCGTATGTGAGGTGGCAGGAGCAGGGAGGGGCCTGGATGACACCCAGAGAAAGGCAAGCGAGAAGGAGAGAAGGGGAGAATTTCTGATCCCTGACTGCACCTGCTGAGTCCCTCCCACACCTGCTGGTCCCCAACCTTTGCCTTGAGGACGGAGGAAAGTGAGAACCTAATCGCCAGTGTAACTGACACACTGAGTATTCAGTGAATGTTGCTGGTTCGTCTCAGTCGTGAGGACAGTGGGTGGCACCAGCTCACGCGCTGTGAAGACAGGAGCGTCTGGGCACACGAGCAGGACACGGAGCCCCGCAGCATCGCCATCCCCAGGTTCTGTCAGGGAAGGGGAGGGAGTCGACGGGCATCAGGGTGAAGCATTCTGTGCAGAGACTCTTGCCCGGGAGGAGAATGTGCTGTGCTACTTCCGCCCCCTCCTTCCCACACTGGGTGAGGAGGGCAGGCAAGGACCCTCAGATGGCACGTGGGGCGCTGCCCGTAGGACACGAGCGCCACCTGCACATCCGGCAGACAGCCCTGGCTCCCAGCAGCACAAAAGATGCTCAGAGAGTTCTAGGGACAAAGCGAGCTTTTGCTTTGGGTTTGGAGACGTGTGTTTTCGTGTGGAAAAGAGCGAAGGCGAGAAGCCAACGGGTTGCTGCCAGAGAGGCCCCAGAGAGGAGCAAAGTCCCGCTGCCACGGGAGCAGCCTGTGACGTCAGTGTCCAACAGGGCGGCGACGCTGAGTCTTCTCAGGGGTGGGGACCTGGATGGAAGCTGGGCTGGAGCCATCTGGAAAAGGCCCTGCCAGGGTGATAGAGGCAACCCGGGACCCAGGGGCGGTGGGCAGTGAAGCGCCAGAGCACAGCCAAGGGGCGGAGTGGCATGGGGAATTATCCTGCCGTCAGGCCTGGGGCTACACAGGGTCCTGATACTCCACAGACCCTGAGAGCAGGCGCCCCACAAGGGAAAGAGCGGGGTCTGAATCTCAGAGAGGCCCGACCCCAGACCACAAAAGCTCCAGCCCAGACCCTTTCTGCCCCTGTATCTCCCCTGCACCCTGGAGCCTCTGCCCTAGCCCTGGAGGAGGAGAAGCGAAGGGGAGGAAGAGCGATGGAAGTGCGACTCCCTTCACCTTGCTGCTTCTGCAGGCCTGGGCCGGGGGTAGGGGGAGAAGCTTTAGGTGAGAGATTAAAGTTTTGATATGAAAGTGGACTAGATTTCCAAATGTCTGAAAATGAGATCGTTATAATATCTGAAAGGAACCAGAAGAGCTGGGGGATTTGCCTGAGACATCATCGAGACATCCAATATGCTATAACAAAGACGGTGGTGGGAGAAAAACTAGAGCCACGTCCTGATGGCACCCTGCTGCTCCCGTCCTGTCCCGAGGCAGGTGATGTCACTCAGCATGCGCTCTCCTTATGAGAGGGGACGTCCCCAGGCTGAGCTGTGCTTAAAGTCCAACTCTTCGGTGTGGATGACTCATCCCAGAATACTTTGAAGACCTCATTTTGCAACACACTCTCCAAAAGAAATCAGCTGTTACTGGACCCGCCTCTCAGAATGTCTGAGGCTGCACTTCTCCCTCCCACCATCACGTGGCCCTGTCACCACCTTTGTCCCGTCCCCAACCTGTCACCTAAGTTTTCTTTGCCGCATCTAACAAGACCAAGTCTACTAAGACCACATGTAATACCTATAAAATATTTCGTGATTCTCCAAGAATCTCCAGTGACATCTGTTATGCATTTTTCCATTAATAGACTAAACATATTATTCTCCTAAGAGAATGGGACATCAATTCAGATGAAATTTTGTTTGGCAGATGTATGGACCATTCATATATCCATCCCGATTCAGTCATCACTGCCATCCCTGTGGTTAAGGCAGAGGAGGTAGGGGGACCCAAGGAGTGGCAAGATGGGGAGCTTGTACCCCCACTTCTAAAAGAGCTGTTGGTGGGCCCAGGTCCTGTCTTTCCCCGACCTCCCCAATGGCCTCTGAGGGGCCCTGTCTGGGAGGAGGATGGTCATACTCACTCTTCATTGACAAAGATGAGTTCCAGAGAAGGCTGGCTGTTGTTTACATCAAGACCTGCCGTAGCAAAGAAAAGCAGGGAGTGAGACACAGAGGCTGGAGCTGCCCCCACGGGTTGTGGGGGTGACGATTCCCCTTCCCTCCACTCTGGAGGCATAGCGCAGCTCGTGGGTGCACATAGGCCCCAGGGGGTTGTAGTGACCCTTGGGCATTTGGGGGACAAGGAGCAGAGGGGCACCCGTAAGTAAAGGAGGAAGAAAGAGCTGGGAATGGGGTGCAGGAAAGCTTCTGGTTGCAAGGGCTGGGGTGGGGATGAGGGGAGAGCAGGGAGGAGGTGGAAGGTGAGGGAGGGCGTAGGTGAGGGGTCATGGGGCGGTCACCACGCTGGGGAGTTGCACAGGAGGAGCCTGGTGGGAGCCCCGGGGAGGAGGTTGGAGGAGCAAGGGGGAGATGAACTCCAGCAAACAGTACTGATGGGCTCGGCCTCTTCGGCGCTGGAGTTGCCCGCCACGAGCTGCTCCTCCTCGGCACTGACCAGCTCCTGCAGCACGGCCTCCACGATGGGCATCACCATGGCGGTGGAGGAGGTGTTGGACAGCCACATGGACAGCATTGTGGTGCAGCACATGAAGCAAAGCAGCAGCCTGGAAGGCAGGGGAGTGCTGGGCAGAGCCTGTCCCATTCCCGGGCCCTACCTACCAACCTACCTACCTACCCACCTACCAGTCTACCTACGTACCCACCTACCAACCTACCTACCTACCAACCTACCTACCCACCTACCAACCTACCTACCCACCTACCAATCTACCTACCTACCCACCTACCAGTCTACCTACCTACCCACCTACCAACCTATCTACCTACCCACCTACCAACCTACCTACCTACCCACCTACCTACCCACCTACCAACCTTCCTACCTACCTACCTACCAACCTACCTACCTACCCACCTGCCAACCTTCCTACCTACCCACCTACCTACCTGCCCACCTACCAACCTACCTACCTACCCACCTGCCCACCTACCAACCTACCCACCTACCAACCTACCTACCTACCCACCTGCCCACCTACCAACCTACCCACCTACCAACCTACCTACCTACCCTACCTACCAACCTACCTACCTACCCACCTACCAACCTACCTACCTACCCACCTACCAACCTACCTACCTACCCTACCTACCAACCTCTACCAACCTCCTACCTACCCACCTACCAACCTACCTACCTACCCTACCTACCAACCTACCTACCTACCCACCTACCAACCTACCTACCTACCAACCTCCTACCAACCTACCTACCAACCTACCTACCTACCCACCTACCATCCTGGTGGGGTTGGCCTAGACAACCACTGCTGGCATTTGTCCAGAAATCGGGTCTTTACATCCCATAGGGTGCCTTGCAGCTTTGTGCTCCAGTGCTTGGCACAGAGTAAGCATTAAATCACTATTTGTTGAATGAATGAATCACACTTTGTGGGCAGGTGCACTGGGCCAGAAGAAAGCCCTCAATCAAAAAATAGCTTTGGTAGTAGGGTCAAAGGGTGTGGCCTCACTGCTTGCTCCCCTCTCTCTGTGGACATTAGTTGGAGCTCAGTGACGATATCTGTGTGTATAAGGGAACGATTTGTTTGCTTTCGCAGCTAGCGATTCTATGAGTACCATGGCATTCCCTGCTTTGCAGCCAAGTCACTGTAGTTACTAGTGACCTAGTAGAGATTAATGTTTGGAGCTCATGGTTCTGCCCACGATTTATTACATGTCCCATCTCACTGTTTGTGTGCACCTTTTCAGTTGGCATCTTAAGCAGTCAATGCTCGGAGGAAAACTCTAACAAAGATAACCATCAAAAACGATTCCCCTATGACTTTGGAAGCATTATGCAATGTGTGCCTGTACAGACACGGTTCTAGTGTCCATAAGATAAGCCACCAGAAAGACCACCCGTGTTTATTATCTCAGGCAGAATCTCTGACTTTGCACAATTTGGGGACAGTACATTCATCATGTGGATTATGTCCGGGTGGCCCCAGTCCTGACGGTACCTTTGTTAAGGCTGACAGTGACATGAGTTTGCCTGTCCTGCACATGCACTAGTAACAGTACCATGGGAGGTGGCAACTTGCTGGGTGCTGAGGGCATGGGGAGGAGTGGAGGCGCAAGTGGATACAATCTCTTGCGGAGAGAACAGAGGTTCTAAAGAGCCACAGACCCCACACGGGACGTGAGGAGATGCCACTGCGTGCCTAGGAGACTAAGTGTGGGCCCGAGATTATCACTGTGCGAGGGGAGTGGACTCAGCTGTAGTTAGCAGCCCCGCCTGACAATCTGGGCACCAGGAACATGCTTTTAAGCGTGACCTGTATTCATCCAAATCAGGTGTCCTCAAACTACAGCCCGCGGGCCACATGCGGGTGTTTTTGCCCGTTTGTGTTTTTTACTTCAAAATAAGATATGTGCAGTGTGCATAGGAATTTGTTCATAGTTTTTTTTTAACTATAGTCTGGCCCTCCAACGGTCTGAGGGACAGTGAACTGGCCACCTGTTTAAAAAGTTTGAGGACCCCTGATCCAAATGCTAATGTTGCAAATGAATACTATATTATTCATTTATATTCTCTTTGACTCCCAAAGGAGTAAAGGAGTCAGGTCACATAAAATGTAGCAAGAAAGTTGTGAACTAGGAGGTGACCAGGATATTCCAAAGGGAAGGTCAGGGTAGGGGTATTCAATGGAGCAGCAGTGAGGCTGACACTACACTGTCGACTCTGACCTTGTGACACATTCCCCAAGGGTGGGAATCCCTCCCTTGTGGCCTTCTTGACAGCAGAGTGGAAAGAGGAAGCAGCAGAGAGCAGGGTCAGATGCAACGTGTCTAACTGGCCTGTGGTCTGAACCGATGACAAAACTCAGGGTGGCTGGGAGGCAACATCCATGTCTCCCTAAATGACAAAGGAAAAGACACCTGCTTCCTTGTCCACCTGGCTCCCTAAGACACAGGGAAAAGGCTGGGAAACAATTTCTGTTGGTCCATCTTGTTTTACCTAATAAGCCCCTTACATGTTGTAACCTGCTGCCCTTGCAGTCTAGGTTGTCTCGTAAATTCTTTAGATTATGATTATTATAAGGACACCAAAGGCACAAATTCAAATCTCTATTCCATGGTCACAGGCGTTCCTGGAGGGAGAGGTGGGGGCCCCATGGCTCTTGTGTCAGCCCATCCACGTGAGTAGAGAACAGGCTGAGCGGACATCCCGCTGTGACTCGGGACCACTGTCCCCGCAGCGCTCTGGGCGCTGGACGGATGCACCACAGCCCAGCACCCCAAGTGCGACTTACATGCCCGGCTTGGCCCCGGCCATCAAGACCATGCGCAGAGCGATGCGCTTATGCAGGTTCCACTTCTCCACGGCAGCCGCCACGCAGATGACGCCCACCAGCAGCAACGTGGTGTTCTTGAAGTACTCGGCCGCCACCTGTGGGGAGGCCAGCTCAGGTCAGCCACCCTTTCCAGCTGAGAGAATGGGCTATGCCCAGTAAGCACTGCTCCTCAATGAAAGAGGCTGGCAAAGGCGAGCAGGGAGTGAAGATTACTATTTAGCCGAACATTGTAGAATAGCTACTAGTGCCTACCGCAGGCAGGCACTGAGCTAAGCACTTCACAAAGATTATTTCGTTTAGTCTGGGCAATAACCCCTTAGGGTAGGTATTCTTCTCCACTTTTTAAAACATAAAATCATTATATTTAAATCTGATATGAATATGATTTGAAAAAATAAGCACATATTTATCATTTTATATTGATCTTTAAAATTATTACATTTTTGTTTGTCCCCAAATATTATTTTTATTTATTTATTTTTTTGAGACAGAATCTCACTCCATCACCTGGGCTAGAGTGCAGTGGCATCATCATAGCTCACTGCAACCTCCAACTCATGGGCTCAAGCTATCTTTCTGCCTCAGCCTCCCAAATAGTTGGGACTACAGGCCCATGCCACCACACCCAGCTAATTTTTTCTATTTTTAGTAGAGATGAGGTCTCTTGCTTAGGCTGGTCTCAAACTCCTGAGCTCAAGCAATCCTTCCGCCTCGGCCTCCCAGAGTGCTAGGATTATAGTGAGCCACCACGCCTGGCTTTGTTTTTAATGTTTTTTAGAAAATTTTAGAAAATTATTTTTATTTCTTTTAGAAATATAATACATGCTCAGCATGGAACACTTCAAAATATAGAAAAATTTGGAGATGAAATTACTCTTAATCCTACTGCTTATTAATACTTGGGCATATTTCCCTCAATGCTTTTGTTTGTATGTGATATAGATAAATAGCTTTATACAGTAAGTATAGTTTTATTAATATATCTTGCCTTTTTTCCATTTCATATCATATCTGGATCATTTTCTTATGAGACTTAAATTATTGGAAAAATTTATTTTAATGGCAGCATAATGTACCAAACTGTGTCAAATTTATGTTAATGTACATAATGTACCATAGAATTTATTTGGCCACTTTTCTATTATTGAATATTTAGTTTGATTCCTTATTTTTTTGCTACTACAAATAAAGCAAAGAATAATTTTCTGCATAAATCATGATCCTTATATAAATGTGATTATTTCCTTATGATAGATGAAAATGTTTTTATAACTTAAATTTAAAAAAATTTTTAATTTAAATAATTCTCAATAATTCCAAAATTACAAAGAACTCCAAAAGTGAAAGTAGTACAAGGAACACCTATACACTATCTGTCTGCATTTTATTTTTCCTGAATGAACCATTTGAGCGTAAGTTACACACATTTTGATTCTTTACTCCTAAATACTTCGGTGTATATTTTCGAAGAATAGAGCTTTTCCTTTCTACAACCACAGTACCAGTTATAAACTTCTTTCCACTTTTTAATGATGAGGAAGTTGAGACATAGGCTTGTTAAAAAGATGTTTCATATGTTTGGGTTCCATGGACCAAACCTTCACGTGATTCCCTCACTTGGAACGTTCTCTTTTTCCATCTCTGCCTGTACTTTCCGATCAGATTTCAAAGCCCAGTTCAGGCCTGGTCCCCTCTGGGAAACCTTCCTTGTGGCTCCTGCCTCTGACTCCAGAACATCCCCCTGTGGGTGCCAGGAATTCCACACACCACAGAGCACTGGAGGCAATGACTGAATTGTTGCTTCCTGTTTGTACTTCTGCTCATTTAATTTTTTTATGTGTACTTGTCTCACAACTAAATTTTAGGCTGTTAATGGTTCCTTTCTATACCTGTTAACACCTAGTAGAATAATACACAAAAGTAGATGCTCAGGCCAGGCGTGGTGGCTCATGCCTGTAATCCTAGCACTCTGGGAGGCCGAGGCGGGCGCATCTTGCTGCATGTCAGGAGTTCAAATCCAGCCTGAAGAGCGAGACCCTGTCTCTACTAAAAATAGAAAGAAATTAATTGGCCAACTAATATATATAGAAAAAATCAGCCGGGCATGTCTGTAGTCCCAGCTACTCGGGAGGCTGAGGCAGCAGGATTGCTTGAGCCCAGGAGTTTGAGGTTGCTGTGAACTAGGCTGACACCACGGCACTCACTCTAGCCTGGGCAACAAAGTGAGACTCTGTCTCAAAAAAAAAAACAAAAAACAAAGTAGATGCTCAATAAATATTCATCACATACATGAGAATTGTTCCCAACTGGAGGAACCACGACAGAGGTTGGAGAGGAAAAGATATAGAAAAGTTTAATTTCTAATTGAAAATCCTTTTAAGGTGAGAAAACAAGAACATTTTAACTTCAGAAAAAACAAAAATTGAACACAGGAAAGGGAATTTAAATATAGTAAAACACGTGGCATTTGAAGTAAACAATATTTACATAATTATACTAATGTTAAACTTTGATTATTGAATTAACAAAAATTGAGATCTAAGTATATTGAGAGGATAGAGGGAGGGAAGTAGGGGGTGGAAAAGGAACAAAATCCTCATCTGTTGTAACAGGAATTCAAATGATACCGCCGTCTAAAAGTGAGAACTTATATAAGAATATCCTATAGAGGCTGGGCAAGGTGGCTCATGCCTGTAATCCTAGCACTCTGGGAGGCTGAGACCAGAGGATTACTTGAGATCAGGAGTTCGAGACTAGCCTGAGCAAGAGTGAGACCGTATCTCTACAAAAAAATTTAAAAATTAGCTGGGCGTGGTGGCATGTGCCTATAGCCCCAGCTACTCAGGAGGCTGAGGCAGCAGGATTGCTTGAGCCCAGGAGTTTGAGGTTGCTGTGAGCTATGAGCACACCACTGCACTTTAGCCCAGGTAACAGAGTGAGGGTTTGTCTCAAAAACAAAAACAAAAAAAAACACCCCCAAAACCAAAATAAAAAAACTATAGGAATATGGAACTTAATGCCAGAAGAAGCAGTTAACAAAATTAAAAGTTACTGACTGAGGGTGGGGAAGGAAGATGCTGATTTTCATTGTAGACTTCTCGGTATTGGATTGTAAAACTTTGTGCACATAACACTTGGATAACATAGAAACCAAAATAAAGGCCATCTCCATTTCGCCCTTCTCTCTTTTGCCCGGTGGAAATGTCATTGCATCTGGTCGATGAGGTTTGTGCAAGAGGAGGAGGAACATCTGCTCTCTGTGACCATCTCCTGGGAGGAGGAACCCTTGGCTCTGGTTAACCTTGTTCTCGGCTGAGCTTGGGGGCTCCAACCTTTCTCACGCCCATTACCTTTCCAGGCTTCCAGGAGGCAGCTTTGGCACGCAACGGGGACTTTATTTTCCTCTGTCTACTGAGGAGGAAACCCACAGAAGACATGAGACACGGTAGTTCTAGGTGATGGCCCCTCCACTGGCCCCATGACACACAGGCCTCTGTGAAGCTCTACAGAGTCACTTTCCCAGGGGACTCTCTGAGGACATTTCAGTTTTCTGTGTCTTTGGCACGTGCCATTCTAGAACACCAGTGTGTCTGTGATGGCCTTTTAGGAGGCTCAGTGCCTAGACGACAGGTGAGCTACTTTCTCTGGGTTCTGCTCAAAGGGAGGGGAAAGCGACCCACAGGTGGAGAGCGGGCCATCTTGCATTGTGCATTCACTTTCTCATTTGAGTCCACGACAGTCCAGTGAGGCAGGTCCTATTAGCATCTCACTTTACAGATGAGGAAACGCAGAGAGGCTAAGGCACGTTCCCGAGTCACTAAGAGGCGGAGTCAAGATGTCAATCCAGGTCCCTCTGAAACCAGAGCCTCCTAGACAATGGGCCACACAGGGCGAACCAGCTGGAAACCCCTCATCTGATTCTACTCTAGGGCAGTTTCCCTGGTCTCCCAGACGGCATGGGCTGGCACACATTCCTTGTTTCATTCATGCTCATGGTGCTGACACTGGCCCTAAGTGCCAAGGCCCCAGGCCCAGCCTCAGTGGGAGGGCGTCTCTGTGCTGTTTTCTCGCTGGGCGTTGGGTGGGCTTAGGTCTACTCACACGCCTCCCTGCCTCCTTGTAAGTGACGTTGTGTGCTTGAGAGACACGGCCTGGGGCTCGGGATGTAGTCTGTGATGACAGAGGGAGCACAGTCAAGTGGGGAAGAGTGAGGGCTCTGGAGTCTGCCAGGACTCAGCTGTGTGACCCTAGGCAAGTAATTCAACCTTTCTGGACTTCATTTTCCCATCTAAAAGAAAATGAAGGTTATGTGAGTCTGCACCTTGTAAGGTTGTTGCTAAGATTAAATGACACCTGCAAATCAGCTAGCGTGGCCTGCCGCTTTGATAGGCAGGACTCCTGGCGACTCTTCCTGTTGCTGAGTGCTCCGTACAAAGGCTGGCCTGGTCTGAGGCCATTAGCGCACAGAGTGGGCCCAGGCACACAGCAAAGCCGCAGGGCTGCCTTTCCATTTTTATAAAGTAATATCCAATTTGATGGTGCTGTTCGTTAGTTTTCTAGCCCATTGATTTTTCTTTCACAGCAACACCTTGGGTATTCAGGACCTCCTAGGGGACTCCAGAGTTCCAGGATTCTTGAGGATTATTTTAATCGCTTTCTAGAACGTGCTGTGGGCGTCCTGCCTTTATTAGCAGAGCCCACACACTCTCCCCACCTCTTGCCGGCCATGTGCCTCCTCTCCCCATCATGCACTTGGCTACCTGTCCAGGCTGCTGGCCCTTCTTTGCTCCCAGGTCTGCATTTCATCGTTTTTCTGTCTCATTCTTGGGCTGTTGCAGCTTCCCATTGTGAAGGCGCTTGCCATTAACATTCCTTTCCCTACTTTCTAATTTCCCAGACTAATATTCTGTGAGTATGGAAACCAGATAAACGAGGCTCGTTTGAGTTATCTGTAAAGAGAAATTAGATTCTAAACGGGTACATCTCCCAGGAGTAAAGTGCGTGGATTTTGTGACATTTGCATTGGCGGTCTGATTGTCTTTTCTGCTTTTCAGCTCGGTGGTTGTCCCTGGTATGCCAAATCGCCAGACTTGGA